CTGGTAGGATTGATGGGATGTCTGCCATTTTAGATGCTTGTGTTCTTAGATAGACCCCATTGAAGAAGAAGAAGAATGATGGGATGAAGGCATTCATATATTCATAGTGTGGGAATTGGGAGATTCAGATTTGACATTTTGAGGTATATGGGTTTTCTGTTTTTTTTTTTAAAAAAAAAAAAATCTTGGGAAAATTTAGATGAACATGGAATCACAGAAACTGCCAGGCTGCACGAATCGCGCCGCACGCCACGGCGCTCACCCCAACCGCGGCGCAAAGCCGCACTGGATTTACGGTGGCCGCCCATTGCAAGGCGATCCCGCCAGATCTCTTTTTGTTTTTTTCCTTCTTCCTCCTTCTCCTTCCCCCATCCCAACTTGCCTTCCTCTTCCTCCTGCCGTGCCGGATCGCCTTCTTCCTTCATTTTTTTTACTTTTATTTTTTTTTAATTTTAAACCCTTTTTTATTTTATTTATTTTGAATCTATTACTTTTATTTTATTTATTACTCCGTATTATTTATATATTTTTATTAATAAATAAATATTTGTTTTAAATTTATATAAGTTTTGAATTAAAAATGATAAATATTATAAAAGAAACAAAGATGCAAATTTTTGAGACGATATTATTGTAGGATTTTGGGGCGGGACGAATTTGGGAAATGCCCTAATTAGGGCTAAAATATAGTCCTTATACCGAAATAGGACAATATGTACTTTTATAATAAAATAAAACTTATAATGCAAAAAATATATTATAAAATGCGAGCACAGAATGCTCAAATTGTGACACTACAGAGTGTCAATGGTCCTATTTAGAAGGTCAAAAATCTAACCAAAATAGGAATCACGCGTTTTAATCTCAAAAAATAGGACTAGATTTCATTATATTGCTTACTAAGATCACGTTGATCCATCAAAAAATCTGCTTTGATCTACCTCTCAGTCTCTCACTGTAATGACACAATATTACAAAACAATGGCAGTCGAAAATATAATGTCAAAAATGATAATGTATATAGATAAACATGACACTGAATAATGTCAATATATAATATAAAAGACACATTCAAATGTTAGCAAACAATGTAATTTGCTAACATATAATGTCACATTCGTATCTCACACTACATTAAATAAAAGTAGTAAAAATTGTTAGAATAAAATTAAGAATGCCCAAACGGCAACCTTTTTCCAAATCAAAATTGAACGAAAGTTATTTCATATCCAATTGCATTTCCGTCATATCCAAATATTATTTTTATATCCAATTGTGTTTTTGTCTTAGTAAGAATCAATTATGATGACATGAAAGTTTGATAGGGTGTAAGAATGTATCATCTGAAGTGATGAAAAATGTGTGTTTATGGTAGGTGTGATGAAAAGTGACGAGGTGTCAAGCTATGAAAAATTTTGATTGATTAAAATATTAAAAACATAAAGAGAAAAAAAATTAGTGGAAGAAAAGAACACATCACGAAATGATGGCTATGACATAAATTGGGGCATTGCACAATTTTGGCATGTAATGGAGAATGGGACTTAAGGAGGAGGTGAAGCCTTCATCACACGCTAACATAACACATTACCTTATGTTCGGGGATACAACTAACATTATTTAGATGAGCCCGGTTCCATGGTCACGGAAGTCACTGTCTCCCAACAGAGCTCCGTTCATAAAATTGACTTTATACTTACGAGATGTAATTGACGTAGGTGGTGTGATTAGTTTGGGTCGGGAATTGGCGTGAGGGTTTACCGAGGAGGTTAGGGGGTAGGAATCATCAATTTTATGAACGAAGCTCCGTAGGAGACAGTGGCTTCCATGGCCACTGAAATCCAGTGACCATAGAACCAGGCTCTATTTAGATACCATTTTAAACTCGAGTTTGCACAACATTTCATTTGAGACCATCCAAAAGGAAAAAATCAAAGATTGATTTGGCACGAATGAAGTATGCTCCAATTACCATACTCTTATAGACTTATACTCTCTTTTCTCACATATTGGTCCTTGTTTCATTTTTAGAAAGTCAAAAAAATTAATACCCTATTTCCATATTTAGAAAAATTCTTATGGGCTATGGCTCATACTCCTTATATTCTATCTTTTTTCTACATCACTTTCAACCATACGATTTTATTTATTCTAAATTGTGTGTCGAATCAAATGTGGACGACTACATGTTATTTTGAGACGGGAAAAAAATTTAAATAAAATTAAAGCACATAGTAGTTGAATCTAAACTTGAGCTAAAAATCTAAAATTAAGATGAAAAAGAACAAATCCTAAATCATCTTTATCACTTCTTCTATTTTAAAAAGTAGTGTTCACAAGAACCAAAAAAAGAAACTTTGAGATCTGAAATTTCGGTTAACCAAATTAAGGAGATTATTAATTAACTTGCTGGTTTAATTTACTAAATACGTGTGCATTGAATTTATTTCTTTTTTTTCTTTTCTCAAATTCATGTGAGGGAAGAAAAAAGAAAAGGCGACAGATAGAAAGTTAGAAATTGGCTTGTTTGCACTTTGCACAAAATGAATAATAATGTCTCTTTGCTTTGGACTCATGCAGGTGCCGTGATACAATAAATATGTTGGTTCAAAAATACGGAAAAAAGACTAAAGTAAGAGTAAAACATTAAAAATATATCAAAATAAGACTTTCATGTTTTTATTTTTTTAAAATAAGAGTTAAAATTATTTACATCACGAAACATGGTCATGTAAATTACCAAAAAATATAGCAATGTGCACATGTATAGTGCCATATTACAAACACATTACCACAGTGCAAAGTCTTATTTCGGGAAAAAAAATATGGAACTCCTATTTTGGTACTTTTTTTATGTTTTGGTCCTATTTAGGGTAATTTCTATTGAAAACATACCGAGTAGTACTTGATTAAGATGACAAGAATATTTTATTTTATCAAATAATCTATAGAAAAATATAAATAAATAAAAGTTATCGAGAGATCGTTATACTAAAGAATATTACAGACACGGCGGTATCTCAAGTGGTGTATCCCATTTGTACATCAATGGATTTACTCACACACAGAATCCTTTGGTGTACAAATGAAGTACACCACTTAGCATGGGGTATCCTCAGGGGCGAACCTACTTGAATACAATTGGGGGCCAATGCCCCCAACTAAATTTTAGTGTTAAAATAATTCTTTTTTAAAAAATAAAAATTTCTTATGCAATGGGCTCCATGCCCCCATCTAAAATTAGGATTGACCCCATCTAAATTATTTACTTCCTTCAAAAATGTATGGAATCTTATTTAATTAAGCTAGTTTTAAATTTTTTTGTTTAATCTTATGGAAGTAAAGTTTATTTTATTGCATTTAATTTATTGTTTAAAATAAAGTTTTACATTCCCAATTAAATAAAATTTTACAGTTAATAAATGTTTAAAATAAAATTCATTATTTTTGTCATTTTAAATTGTCTATTTTTTTAAAAAAATCAAGGGTCCTTAGCATTTTCCATCTACAATATATTACAAATATTGAATATTTTTACTACAAAAAGTATATTCTGATGATAGTCAAGGAAGAGAAGCCACGATGACATTGTGACAGTGATAGTATGACAATTATAGCATGACAATGTGATTAGTGTGTAGCAGTGTAATAATGGCAGTATGAACTATTGTTTCGGTATTAAAAGACTTAGAACTCTTATTTCAATATTTTCATAGTTTTTTACTTTTATATAAAAAGTTCTTTTAAAAATGTAAATTTTACTCTGTGAATAAGAAATTGTAATCAAATTTGAGACGGAAGAAGGATACAAGGTTATTCTTAATTTTTTGCTCTCATCAGCTTTTTATCCAATTTAGATTTGTAACACCTATGTGATGGAGCCAAGTCTAATTACTTCACTATGAGATCAACTTCTTTGATTTGCATGGTAAACATGTGTTATAATTAAGCAAAGCAAATGAATCCCTAAAAATAAGAAATCAATTCTTAATGTATAAAATATTCAAAACATTACAAATAAAATGTTTTTTTTTCAAACTTGGGGTTCCCCAATCATACTCCTTTTTATACAAAAAGGCTTTGGGTACCAAGTGATACCGATTTTGACACAAATAATAGATTTTGGGGGCAGTGACACCAAACAGGCAAACAAAATTCCCTTCTCAACAATGTTACACTTGACTTACACCAAAGAATATATCCCAAAATTATACTCCCTCCGTTCCCCATAGATCTTCCCAATAACCCTTTTTCTTTGTCCACAATAGATCTTCTCATTTCATTTTTTAACAATTAAAATACCACAACTACCTTCATTTACTTTATTTATTACACCTCACCCACCTCATTTAATACACTCCACCCATTTTCATTAAGGGTACTATGGTAAACTTTCACCTTTTTTCAACTCTCCTTAAAAACCACCAAAAGTCAAAATGAGAACATCTTAGGGGGGCGGAGGGAGTACCAAATAGATATACTATCATTTTGATGGTTTACACTGACACAAAATGTAGTGTAATTAAAAAAAATTGTACTAACATTTTGTATCTGTAAAAAGTATCAGCCTAGAATGCTTCTTTGGTGCAACTTGGGCATCTATCAATTTTGTAATTTTTCTTTTGTAAAACAAATGTTTATTTAAATAATAAAAAATACTTATTTTACTCATATGTAGCCTAATATCATAGTGACGCAAAATGAAGGTGCACACTTGTGGTGTACAATTTGAAATACAAATATTTGCCGATGGTCGTTGCGCAGTTGGCAAGGTAATGGGTGCCAAGTGGGTAAGACTCGAGTTCGAACTTAGCAACTACACCGAGAGGCAACTATGCCAAAGATATGACCCATAATTCTTGCGGTAACCCAAACAGACGGACCAATTCTTTTTCATTCGTGAATAAGCACATTTGGAACCCAAAGTGAACCCAAACACCACAGTTCCCAGTGGAAACCTTTTGTCCGTTGTCAATTGTCATGTCGTTCGAATCCGTACAGTCAATTTGAAATTCAAATCCACAAATTGAACCCGCCCATAGCTCACCTCCGCCTCTCTTCATTCACCCGCTACAGTTAACTCTTCTTCTCCATCTCTCCATTTCCAGAACCCCCCCAGAGCACAGAAGAAAACAAGGAATCGCAAAAATGGTGGTTCCGAAGAAGGCGGCGTTCGCGTACGAGGAAAGCCGGCTGAAGCGGCTGCAAGAGAACAAAAGGAGGATGGAGGAGCTCAACCTCAACAAGCTCGCCCAATCTCTCCGCCCCTCCCCCAAACCCTCCCCTGTATTTCTCCATTTTTTTTTTGTTTTTCCAAATTCATTTCGTTAAATGTTGCGATTTCCTGAAATTGCGCGATCTCCGGTCAGATGAAGAAGACGAAGACTAAGGTGCCGCTGGACCTGATTCCGGTGAGGAGATCGAGCCGCGTCTCCGACAAGCCCGCTCCTAATTACAAAGAGGTCAGTTTTCTGCAACTAATTATTGATTTTTTTCCCGTTAATTTTGTTTAGAAAAATTTGCATGAAATAAGATTAAAACATAATCATTTCACAACGTAGGATTACTTAATAATGTCTAGTAATAGAAATAATGTCCAGATAGATATTTACTTGTAATGACTAATAATCCTACATTGAAAAAAAACACATGATCTTATATTGAAAAAGTCATTATGATTTAATCTTATTTAGGTAAATTTCTCTTTTGTTTATTCATGTTCTTAATCTCGATGCGTAAATACTGTTAGCAGATTGGATTTGAATCTCTGGGGATTGCAAGGAGAAGGTAGTTTCCTCCATGATCTTGTTACTGTTTTATTGTTTTTTGTAACCAACCAAGCCAATTCGATAATAATGGATGTTATTGAACAATAAAAATTTTATTCATATATATAGGGATTTAAGTGAAAATTAGAATAAGTAATTATGGTGACAATAGGATAGAGAAGTAAATAATACTCCATCCGTTCGGAAATAATCTTCTCATTTCTCCTTTTTCTCCGTCCGGAATTAATCTTTCCATTTCTAAATTTAACCCCAAATGTCCCAAAAATACCCTCCCATCAAATCTCACTCTCTTCTCTCTTCTTTCTTCTTTTTTTCTCCCTCCTTTTTCTCCATCGCCCCCATCTCTTTTACTCCTCTCTCCCCCTCTCTCTCTTCTTTCTTTCCTTCCTTCCAGATCAGATCTACGTTCTTTTTCTTCCCTTCCTCTTCTTCGACTTCCTCTCTCCCCCCACCCCATCCCTCCTCTCTTCTCTCTCTCGATCTCACAGTGGCTCTCCCTCCTCTTCCTCTTTCTTCCCCTTTCTCCTTTCTTATCAATCTCCTCCTGGATCTGGCAGATCTATAGCTTTATCTTCACCTCCGTTCTTCTCCTCCCTTTTCTCTTNGGGGGGGGGGGGATGGCAGGGATGGTGAGGGGAAGATATGGTCACGCATGGGGATGACGACTGTGATGGGGCGGCGGGACTATCAATGGTGGTGTTGGGACTGGTGAAGGGGAGTGCTCGCAAGGTTGGGACTTTGGCAGTAGGGGCATTTCTGACCATTTACTTCCTTAGTCAACTCATCAAAAAAATGGGAAAAAGTCAATTGGGAAAGATTAATACCGGACGGAGGGAGTAATAATAATGATGATGATGATGATGATGATGATGATGATGATGATGATAACATTCTATTTCCTATTTTCTCTAATATTCTTAATAAACCTTACAAGTTGATCAACAATAATGAGAAACTGCTTGATGAAGCATAGGTATTGGAAGGGAGCAGGCGGAAACGATTTTGTGAGGATAGCCGCTAGAAGTAGGGAAAAAGATTTTCGTTGCATGACGAACGAATTTGAGAGTATGTTGGTTGAGTTTTTTTCTAGGGAGAGTATTGGCGATTGGAACGAAGGCGAGGAGTTTCTTTTTTTTCCTGCTTGTGAGCCATAAAGATAGAGCGTTGGTTATTTTTATGGACATGGATGAAAGTTATGCAAAGGTCTTGCAAGGTTCAAGAAGAGGAATTGAAAATCCAAGTGGGGAAATATAAATCTTCATTTGAAAGAGCAGTGCTCGAGAGAGAGACGTTGTAGAAAAGAGGCGTGAAGATCAGAAAATCATGAAAATCATATATGAATCATTCAAGGCGGAGATACATTCTGTCAACGATCAACTTGCTGATGCAAAGATGGAAGTTCGTTCCTTGACAACTGAACAAAAACGAGCAAAAGTAGAGGCAGATGAACTTTTTTTCAGGTTGAAGACACAAGGGATGGATACAAGGAAATTGCAAGTCTCCGATACCATGATACAATTTGATAATAATAGGTTTTATTGAATAATAAAAGTTTCATCCGTATATATAGGGATTACAAGAGAGAATCTTAATTAGAGTAGAATAAGTAATTATGGCAACAATAGAATATGAAAGTAAATAATAACAATAACATTCTATTTCCTATCATCCCTAACATTCTTAATAAAAAGTTTAAGTTTGTGGTTGTAAGCTCAAGAAATATTTTTATATTCTAAGCTTCTAACAAGTCCCTCACGTGTAGGCTTGGTGTCTTTGAGATTTGCACGTGAAGTCTTTTTTTTGAAAAAAATTAAGTAGCGGTGAGTTTTGAACTTGTTAATCAACTCAATCAAAAGGTCAAACTTGTGGTTATAGGCTTAAGAAAGTTTTTTAAAAATCTATTCTAATATGCCACTTCAAATGTAGTCGGGAATTTAATATTTTTGTAGTCTCTTCAAGTCTTGCGCATGAACACTAATTATTACTCCCTCCATCCCGTAAAGCATTTCAACTTTTTTTATCTTACATATCCATAAAACATTCCAATTTGGCCTAAATGGACACAATTGCCCTTACCATCTTAAATCTAATCGAACATATCCCAACCATCTTCTACGTGCTATCCATCTTCACATTTCTCAAGCCCTAGCGCTTGAATATTTGTTGTTTCATCTTGGTCAAACTTCTACAGCTTCCTCTCCCAAAAGTAAAAACACGAAATGTTTTACGGAACGGATGAAGTAAATTAGGTGATATTGAGGTTTGAACTCGTGACATTTTAATTAACAAAGTCCCGATAATGTGTCAATGAACCAATTCAACCAAAAGTATAAGCTTGCGGCAGTAAGCTCAAGAATTGTTTTTTTATATTCTAACAAATTTTCTTCTGGTTTGTAGTTTGATTAATGCAATTTTTTTTCCTTTCTACTTCTTCAACTTGAGTTCTTGTAGTTACGTAAGAAGAGATTTGTTGAATCGGGTCTATGCATCTGATGGAGACAGAATGGATGCCTTAGAAAGAGCTGAAGCTTTAGGACAAGGATTGGACAAGGAGTTCCCAAGCTTTGTGAAGCCTATGCTTCAGTCTCATGTAACTGGTGGTTTTTGGCTGGTAATTACTCTATAACCAAAGATAGGTTATTTGATTTGTTAATATGCCTTGAATCTGTATTGTGTTGCTGCTATGTTGTTGTTTTGGGATCTAATTATTGTAATGGGTCTAGCCGGTTTTGTGTGCCTATTTATATAGAGGTAGGACACAAGAACTCTGTACTCTGCAACCTCTGACATAATAGAATCCGCCTCCGTTCTTGTCTGTGGACGTAGCCAACACAACGTTAGTGAACCACGTTAAATGTGTGTGTCTATATGTCTCTGTTTACTTTGATTACCCAATTACTCTATTCCGTAATAACATGATCATAGTGACCAAAATACAAAATTCAACTCAGACTTTATTAGTACGAGATTTTTTGGGAGATGCCCAAGAATAAATATGCTAGAACTTGACCTAAAGTAGACAGTATCATACTAATGCAAAGGGTGAAAAAAGGGAGATTTGTATTTATTGTGAATTGTTGTAATGTAGGGACTTCCAGTTCAGTTTTGCAAAGCTCACCTGCCAAGACATGATGAGATGATCACTCTGGTGGACGAGAACGGGGAAGAAAGCGTCACAAAATACTTGTCGTTGAAGACGGGGCTGAGCGGGGGCTGGAGGGGCTTTGCCCTAATGCATGATCTTGTTGATGGGGATGCTCTGGTTTTTCAGCTGATTGAGCCAACCACATTCAAGGTCACATATACCAAACAAAACCTTCTCTGTGCTAATCTTGTTTTCTTATTCTCTTTCTCTATGACTATTATGTACTCTCTTCATTCGTCTTTGAGTATTCATCCATTTTTTATTTTTTCGGTCAAAATTGGCAAATTTTGACCACTTGTGCTAGATGAGTGGTGAGAACAATGCTAATGTGTTGTTTGGAATTCACAGAGCATATTGAAAAATTTTCTAATATTTGTTAGCCTTCAACTCCTGTGTAGAGTCAAAGATTTACTATTTTTTGGCTTTGGGAATGACGGAATAAAGCAAATTGACTTTTTAAACTGTTTGCGCTTCTGACAATTGTGAAGTAGCAGTTAGTCAATGCAACTTTCTGACGCTTATCATGGGTCATCTAGAAACAGTCGCTCTATGTTTTAAACATAGGGGTCATACTCCGTACATCCAACCCCCCTAACCCCGCAATGGGCGGGAGCCCTTGAGGCACTAGGGTAATGTTGTTGTTATATTATTTGTTAAACTGGTATATGAACTATTAACTGCAATTATTTTTTTAAAAAAAGTGGCCAAGTAAATTTGAGGAGGGAATATTTATTTATTTATTTATTTACTTGGTGTCTTACAAAGTCCAGGTTTACATCATAAGGGTGAATGAAGCAGCAGAAGAAGAAAATGGGAGAGAGTGAGTAGGGCACTAAGCAGCAGGAGAGATCACTTTGTAAGGAACCACTACTAGTAGTTTTTAAATATAAATATTAGGGGTGCATATCTTATGGCCCTAGTTTTAATGGCCCATTTTGACAGCCCAACTCCAAAGCCAACCCAGTGGCCCATTTGCCCAGTTTGATTTAGCCATAGCCCATTTCTTGCTAATGTCCTTGTGGACGTGTGCTTTGTAAGGTTTTGCTACTTGCTACTCCTATCTCAAGTAAAAGGGCATGTTTATTACAGAGTATTTAATTATATAGTTATGATGTTAAATATTTCGTAAAATTTTTAATGTAATTTTTAAATATATAAATTTTATTTTTTAATTTCACCTGAGTTCTTAAATAGTTCTAGTAAATTATACTTCCTCTGTCCCAAAATATTTACAACATTTGCTTTTTCAGCAGTCGCGGGAACTTTTGTTTATTTCTACGTTTTCATTGGTTATTTGATAAAATAAAATATTCTTGACACCTCTTATTTTGAAAAACTTTTCATGTAGTTTTTTTATATCTAAATTTTATTTTTTATATCTATACCAATATGTAAATAAAATGAATTAAAAAAACTTGATATTTTACCTCGGAATACAAATGTGGCAAATATTTAAGGACGGAGGAAGTAAGTATACTTTCAATTAAATATCACAAGTTCAAACAGGGATTTTAATATTGGATGAAAGAAGTATGCCTAAATCCAATCCAAACTAATATAGTATAAAATATATTTAATTAAATTACTAAGCTAGAATTCAACAAATTAATGTGTCACAAAAATCTAAAGCATATGATTTTTAGTTATATTTTATAAAATATAATTTATGTAAGATGAAAATGTATTAATGTTTTTAGATATAGTATAAGACGTATCGTAAGTTAAATTATTCAAAATCCATATAGATTATGAGTATAATTATTAAAATATTCGTTTACGATTCGTTAAGTATTCGAATATTAATCAAATACAAATTCAAATCTTATTTTTAATTCGTCGCATATTCGGATTCGTATTCGAAAAATTTAAACAAATTCAAATTCAAATATCTCAATATTCGCTTCGATTCATTTCGTTTACACCCATATTCGTGGTTGTTAATTTGTGAAATATAAACTAAGATTCACAAGTATTTATTTTATTTAATTGTTTATATTCTAGTTTTCTTTATATTTCTTTATTTAAATGCACTTTCATTTTTTTAAAAACAAAAGGTTTTGTTACATTCTTTAGTGTAAATTAGGCACATGTGTATTCATCTCTGTTTGTATCAAATTACTAAGACCCTGTTCTTTTGTGTTAGAAAAATTAACTTCTAACTTTTTTTCAACTTCTTCCAACAACGATTTAAAAAAGATATTTATATACAATGTATATACAATAATATTATTTATCCAAATTTATAGGGTAAAAAACTAAAGTATGAGGAAAATATTAAAAATATATCAGAGTTTTATATTTTTATTTACGAAATATGATTTAAAATGTATTTATATTACTAATAATGATAATGTATATACTAATATCAAAAATCATAATGCTCATTTACAATATTCTATAATATCACAGTCCAAACTTCTATTTGAAAAAATGAAAATATGAAACTTGATATTTTGTGTATGTTTTATTACTCCCTCCGTTCCAAATTATAATGCATGTTTACTATTCACAGGATCAAATTTTACTCACTTTCTTTCTCTATTTTCGTTAGCAATTTGATAAAATAAAATATTATTGTCACTACTAGTTTTGTAGATCTTTTAATGTAATTTTTTAATATGTAATTTTTATTTTTTAATTCTATACCATTTGTCATATAAAATGATTTGAAAATAATTTCAGTCAAACATCGTAAACCGAAACAGGGGTTATGCGTTATAAAATGGTAGTACTAATTTACTACGTATTTCTTAATATGATTGGCCGATGATTCGAATCAACCAAAATACACCGTTGACTCATCTACCCGGTGGTCAAACTCCGGAAAAACTAAAAAAACCACACCGTCACGAATATGCCACACGTCGTCACCACCTCCTCGCCTCATCTCTTTCCGTTCCCTCTCTAATTTCTCGCACTCTCCAAACGCTTCCAAATCTAGATCTCTCTCACTGTTTAAACCTCCCTCTCCTAGATTCCGTTACCGGAAAACTGCCGATCTTTGCCTGAAACTGCCTCGATCGGAATCTCCGGCGACTATATCCACATCTCGTAGATAATACGCGATTGCGTCGAAATGAGTAACGGAGAGCTGCTTCGCATCGAACCTGTTGACCTTCAATTTCCATGTAATTTCTCCGCACTCTCTCACAAGCTAGCTCTTTGGAGGCTCTTATAGCCATTCCTTTTTGCGGATTTTTGACTCATATTTTGCTCTTTTTTTAAAATTTATTCCTCGTAATTTTTCATTTGTTGTGGATTGATAGTCGAATTGAAGAAGCAGATCTCGTCTTCTTTGAATCTGACGAACAACTCTGATAACCATGTCGCTTTCAAGGTATTACTGAACTTTTTTTTAATGTTATATGTGCATCTCAGAATCTATGAGCCCTTTTCCATTGTCGGTTTGATTTTCCCTGTAAGGCAAACTGTTGATTTGTTACATATTTCCTCTCAGGTGAAGACAACAAATCCGAAGAAGTATTGTGTGAGGCCTAACACTGGGGTTGTGTCGCCGCACTCTAATTGTCAAGTTATAGGTGTCTTTTGATTCCGCACATATTCTTCTAGTGTGTTTGATTTTGGAGCTCTCATTGTTCCTAATGTTATTAATTGTTGAATCGTATGGTTCAGTTACAATGCAAGCACAAAAGGAGGCTCCAACTGACATGCAGTGCAAGGACAAGTTTTTGCTTCAAAGTGTGGTTGTGACACCTGGCGTCACGGCAAAGGATATTACTCCAGAAATGGTTATTTCTTGCTGTAGTTGATTGTGCATGGTTAGTAATTTGGTTTCTCCTTATGCACTAGTTCTTATATGTGCTTCTTGGTTTAGTTTGCCAAGGAATCAGGGAACCTTGTTGATGAATGCAAGTTGAGAGTAGTGTATACCTCACCTCCTCAACCTCCATCACCTGTGCGAGAAGGTTCTGAAGAAGGATCTTCACCAAGGGCCTCACTATCAGAAAGTGGACAAATGAATTCATCTGAGCACAGCAATGTGAGTTTCCAACATGCCAGATTTTAGAAAGAGACAACTGGTCAGATGTTAAGGGGCATAAAATGGTCAAAAGGGAGATATTGAACTGACTTATTATAAATGCAGGTTTCAAGAGCACAAAATGAGTCACAAGAGAAGTCATTGGAGGTAAGTTTCAATGCTAATTTAATTCTAGAGAGCACTCAGTGACACACTTTCTTCTCCCTTTCGAAACAAAATCTTTATGGCTCAGATTTTGTTGTTGTTGATGCATTCCATGCTTTCATATGTGATCTATATTGTTATCATTATTTTTTATTTTTCAAGTGGTACACTACCCGTCGTAGGTTACTTCCAAAAAGGGACTATTTGAGTAATATTTTGTAAAACCCTATTCATTCCCTCTTTGGGTGTTTTTAGTCCTCAAAATGAAGATGTTAGGCATTGACCTTTATACCCGTATCGACTTTATTTTTTTGACCTCACACCGGAAACATTCAACACTATAGCTGAATCAAAATTTATCCTAACCCACCCCTTTCTTGAATTATCTCGGCCTACCCCATCTTGATGACACTGACATGACTAAACATTAACTTATCCATTTTTATTGGCCACATGTCCATTGTGATCACCACACATAAATCTGTAAGCGCCCTATAGGCCCAACCGGGAAAAATGTGGCCCTATCTACCACTTTATCGTTCACTGCACTTACACAACTTCCACAAGCTGTATCAATTGCAAATCTAGAGAAGATGGTGAATTAATTTTGGTTGCTCAAGCCTTCATAAGCATAAGCGTTTGTGGCCAGAAAGGCCCAGAATGAAACCCTGTACACAGTACACCACAGCTTTAAGACATCTGTTGGTGTCGCCAGGCCTGTTAGAAAGTCTACCACTAGCACCTAATAACCTACTGCTACGGCTAGTGAATCTATTCCTATCGCCAGGCCTGTTAAAACAGTCAGCCACCAGGCACCAGAGGATCGACATCCTGCACCGATTCCACCACCCTCTGTTAACCTCCACACTGATTACATCCCAAGTTGTTCCCAACTCAAGTTCCATATCATGGGTATTTCCAAAAGAATTCTGATAAAAATGACTACTTTGACATATGTCCTCCTAGAATGGTTAGTAAAATGTCCTATACTCCTATTTACCCGTACAAGTTACAATTAATTTCACCCAACCTTATTTGTTCTCTATCCATCCTTATCCCTTGCATCCCATTCAACTCTTCTTCTTCACCCATGAACCTCCATCCTCTTCCTCTTCCAACATGCACCTCCACCTTCCTCTTCCAGTCCTGTGCCTCCATCACCACCCCTTCTTCATTCCGGGATCCAATTAGTTTATCAGTATTGGTAAGTTGGGTTTCCAGATGAATTTGGAACAAGAATAGAAGCCTGTTGGGCAAAAATTGAGTTATCCATCCAGACATAATGAGTCACACATGTATAGAAGCAGAGGTATCATCAGACTGGACAGAGTCAGGAACTTCACCATTTATTGTTGCTACTTGCTATCAAAGCTTTAGCACAATGAAGTCTGCAGTTAAGCGCAAGCTGGAGTGTGAAGAATTGCTTGGAGATGCTGCCCGAAAATGGCTCACGCGCCGGCGCATGGAAGCCGAAGTTGTGGCTGATGGTGCCTTTTGAGAAGGATGATGACTGCTGGAATCCTGGGGTTGGGTAGCTTTATTAATTATTAATGATAGAAGTTGTAGAAAGACTAGTTTCAAAATTATGACACTTATGAACATAACCCCTTGATGGGAATCCGAGATACTAGTTGTCAACCAGAAAGAAATATGCTTCATTTTGTTCATCTATTACCTAGTACAACATACACGTGAATATATAGATGAAGTAAAGAGACAAAGCCATGCTGAAGTCCACCCTAGGTCTGCAATATGTTAGGCTAGGTCTAGTCTATGGATATAGGTCTACTGCAGGGGAAGATATTATATTGTTTCTGACAGTTACGAACGATGAATCTTTGACAAAGTATGCCTAGTATTTCATTCCTTCAATTTTTGATAGTTGTAATCCTATTGTATAAATAGAACCTGATCACCTTTTTGGTTAACATTTTCAGGCAAAAGCCTTAATTTCTAAGCTCACAGCGGAGAGAGATTCTGCCATTCTGACGAATAAAAAGCTCCAGCACGATTTGGTAAGGATGTGTTTGTGTATTCTATTATACTCCGTATAAGATATTAACAAATCCATGATGGGCAATGGCAGCCAAGACTAAATGGCGTGGCTAATGTTTAGCCAGCCACCTAAGGAATTTTGTGGAGAATGGCTGCCTATGGCGGTGCCATACAGTTAAATTGTGGCAATCGACTATTTGCCATTAACAAAGTTCTAATTAGGCCATGTGTCATGGTTTGGGGCTCGACCATGTGCCACATAGGCCACCTAAGCGGGTGGGTGTGAGTAAAATACTAGGTATGTGTATTATGGGGCTTGAATGGGGTTGGAGTTTTTACCACCTCGTGAGTGGGTGAAAGTGTGGATTATTTTGATTGGTTGAGGTGAAGGTATGAATTTTTTTGATTGGTTGAAAAAAAGAGGGCAACGCGTGATGGTGGCATTGGAGGGGCAAATCAGAATGGTAATGCTGTGATGGGTGGGGGGTTGAAGGAGGGTGGTCAAGCCCCTCCTCACGCCCCATAACACATAGAGTGAGTGTGTAGTACCCATGCAAGTCATATGCGGGAACAGCTCAAGTTTTAGCTTATAGATATGGGTACTTTTTGTTTCTCTTTAAAGTGCATTTTTTATTTTTGGGGAGGTACAACTAATTGAAATCATCAAATATGAATTACTCGTATATAATTACATTTCATTGTTTGCTTAGTTTAACTGAAATTAACATATTAAACTTTTTCCCGACATATATTTATTTAACTTAATAACATCTGATATGATGAAAAGTAACAACTTTTCTTTTTCAAATTTCACTTTCTTAAGGGACAAAAATATGTTGAGAAAGATGACTCTTATTAAGGGAGAGAGGCAGTACATTACTACATATCAACTTCTTAATTTTGACCATATTAATAAATGCCATCATTATTTCCCATACAACAAGTCAACAACACCAACCCAGTACAATCCCAATTTCGTTCGGGTCGGAGGGTCAGGATCTACGTAGTCTTACCCACCCCTAAAAGAAGAGGGGCTGTTTCCGTTATGGTTTATTCCCAATTTTTTGAAGAAATTTAGCATACAAATGATGAATTCAGACCAATCTTTTCATTGCCTCACAATGTCATATTCATATAGAGTTTCACAAAGGTGGATCTTTAGCAGCATGTCTATCTATATTTCAAAAGCCATCATATCTTATGATTCTTCATGTTGCTTTATTAGGATCTGTTGAGACGGGAATCAAACCACAGTCGAGGAGGTATTCCATTTATGTACGTTGTTATCATTGCCTTGCTCGGTGTTCTCCTCGGCTATCTCTTCAAGAGGGCATCATGAAGGCCATGTATGTTTCAATTCTCAGGTTCTTTTGGAAAACTAAAGTGTGATTAATTTTTGTGTATTGATTGACTAGTTGTCTGGTGGACCTATTTTTTTGAATTAAAGAAAAAAGTTTCTTTGGTTATGTAGTAATTTCACGACCCACACTTGTGACTTATTTGTTTAGACGACATTTATTATTATTATTATTATTATTATTATTATTATTATTATTATTATTATTATTATTATTATTATTACATGATTTCACACTTACCTTTTTTATGTATTTCGAAAAAAACTTTGCACTTCACTCTCCATTTAAAGAAAAAATGGTGGCTTTGATATTTTTCTCTTTTGACCAAATTTTTATTACTTGGCATATATTTTTGACTATATAAAATTATTTTTTGAGCTGAGTGAAGTCATACTAAGAGTTGAATTATGGGGTGTGGTTAGAATTGATTCGAAAGAGAAATCATGAAGACTACATATATCTTACTACTTCTCTTGTCTCAATTTATATTATCTGTTTCAGTTTACAATGTTTGATTGAAATTATCTTTAAATCATTTGATATGAAAAATAATATAAAATTAAAAAATAAAATTACATATTAAAATACTACATCAAAAGATGATTGTATTTATTTTGGAATTGACAGTCCCTTAAATTTGGGGTTTGTTGAGGAAAACGAAGATTAGAAATTAGGTTTTGGTCAAATGCAAAATTAACCACAAAGTTTGGAATTTTTCTTTCGTTTAATAAATAATTTCTGTTTGGAAAATAAAGAAATTTTCTTTCTTTAATAAATAATTTCTGTTTGCAAAAGGAAGCACAGAGAAAGACTTTTTTCTGTTTGGATTTTTCTTCAATGGGGCCAAATACCAAAAAAGTAAAATGATCTCTGGAAAATGAGTGAGAAATTAATTCGGGTCGGATTTTGTTCCTCCAAGAAACATATAGAATTGATATCATATTCCCATTGTAGTGTTTGGTTGACATTTGAGAATCAATTCTTTCAATTAAGATCCAGCCTTTGGGATATGATTCTCCAAACTTGATTTTATTTTAGATTAATGTCACAAACCCACCAAGGATGACATCAAGATTGACACCATTATTGTACCAGGGACTAATTTCTCATCGACGATTATTGTCCGTGCGAAAATAGTTTGATGCAGTCAAAGTTGTTGAGTTTCTAGAAGCTTCCTTTTATTTATTTCGTTACATTGTTATCGTGTTATCTATTAAATTAGGCCATATGCCTTTTTGTCGCATAAAAAGTTATGATTTGATTTTAATGATATTTAAAAAATGTATTTAAAAAATGAAAAATTTAGGCAAACTTTGTTAAGCTAAGAAAAATCTTGTGAGTCAATATGGTTTTTTTAATTGAAATAAAATGTTTTAGAATGTCCAAAAAGATAAAGTAGAAATGTTTTTGCAGAATGGAAAGAGCATATCTTTCTCAAAACACACCACATTAGTGAGCTCAAAAAAAAACTGAGGGAGTACCTTTTACCAAAACAAAACAAAAAACCAATTTTGATCAAAAGAAATGGATTGATCAATAAATTATGAAATAACAAAAAAGTAGAAAAGATGGAGTAACTTTTAAACACAACGAAATAATTACATAAAAATATTTTTACATATGAAAAAAATCGAAACAATTTTTTTTTAAAAAAAATGTAAGATAAATCTCATAAATTCATTTTCATACGATTCTACAATGTGATGTGATTTTTATTTAACAAATTCATTCAATTTAATCACGAACGCCAAACTAACTAGACAATACTCTGAGAGAGGAAGTATTTTTCTAATTGCATTTAGGCAATAATTAAACCAAACTCCACAGTACAAACAGTGAAGTCATTACATACATACATACATCAAGGATTAGTCACCCTACATTGTCTCACTACACTACACTTTCCTCAACAAGAACACCAAGCAGAAGCCCCCCTTAGTCTTTTGTTAGTGCATCATTTTGAGGATCTTTAATGACATATAGGACATAATTTGAAGGAAAAAAAACTCACAATTAATATGGAGCTTCAATGGAATTCTTTAATTATAAAGGACCACTCGTGGAATTTACTCAAAAAAAATAAATACTGAACAAAACAGTTTTCTTGATTAACTGAGAGCACCAAGACCAGAACAACAGAGGGATGAAAGAATCTTTTCATTCTTCTTTCTATAATCACCAAAGTCGATTTAGATACCTGTAAGATATGTCAAGTTTCCTCAAGATGCGACGCTTTACGACTCTTTTATCATGTTGCATCGAAGGACAATCTTGCGAAAATCATCCAGGCTCAGCTGCAATAACAGAACGTTAAGCCTAAGAAATGAGCAAGTTTCGAAGGGTTGTTTCCTGCCTTAAATATCACTTCGATTGATCCCATCCTTTTCTTTTTCCAAAAATTCTGTTACAAACGTGCTTACGAAAACCGACTAATTTTGACCCACATTTTCTTCATAGAGTATGCCAGGATTCTGATTCTCACACTGTGTTTGGTTCAAGGAATCCGGAAGGGAAAAGGGAAAAAACGGCAAGAGAAAGTAAATTCGGTGTATGGTTAGTAAAAATAGAAATGTTCCATTTTTGGGAAAGGAAAGAAAACAACCAACTATTCCCTTTCCCCCTTCCCCGCCCTCCCTCTCCACACCCACCCCACCACCGCCCTTCCTCCCCTCTCAATTATTTCTCCCTTTATTTTCTCTGCAACAATCAAGCAAATGAACTACGGAGTATTATAAGAACAAGTGAAATGAAATCTGCACAAAATGAAAAGATTTAGTGATGACCTTTCCATCTCCATCACCATCAAAGCAATGTATCATGTCTCTTAGCTCTTCTTCAGACCATAAAAAGTCATGCGATGCTGCTACTCTTTCTAATTCTCTCAAATCTATGCTTCCCTTTCCTGCCTCTGCAACGGCACTATGTCAATTCATCCAACACACATAAGTCAAAATAAATTGTATTGTAGGTATAAAAAGACACAAACGAATACTTCGTAGTACTTTTGCTCTTGTACCAACCATAGTTTTAGATCGACTTTCTTATACTAATAGTGGAAATATCATAAAGCAAGACCAGTCATTACCATCAAAGTGAAAGAAGTGTAAAATGATTTCATCTTCGGTCATTTGCACCCGACTCCTGATCTGGTCATAGCAAAAGAAACGTTGGGACGGGGTAGGAAGCACAAGATAAAGAGAATGCAGGAGACCTTAACTCATGCAATACTCCATCCATTTCTTATGGAGCTAAAAGAGTCAGTCATCATTGACAATGTTTTAGCTTCACCCGAAAATAACTACTAAATCAAAATGACACATTAAACTTCCATTGCCTTGTTCTTTCTATGAAGTTTTTGGACAGTAAATGCATCAAATGTCTAAGGAAAACAGCCTCTGTATTTTACAGGGGTAAGAGTGTGTCAATCTTGACCTATAGACCCCAACGNGGGGGGGGGGGGGTTTGTTGCAATTCATTCATCTTAAGAAGACATAATATGGTGCAAATATGCACCAAAACAAACCGTTTGTTTTCTCTTCCTCTTTCCTTTTCCATCTACGGCGTTCGAGTTCACATTCTTCACTCTAGACTTTTCATCCATGATATGAACACCGTCACTTTTAGAAGGTGTTTTGTTCACATCCAAAAGTCCAGCAGAATCTTGTAGAGAAAGAGCAATTGCCTACACATATAAGCCAAGTGTAGTTCAATACAAAACCTAACTTTTGACAAAACAAATAATTTGAAATATTGAGTCCTACTAATAATAATACGGAGTAATAAAAAAGAACTATTGAAAGTTTTGTGTACCTGCATCAAAGCATCATCGTCGTCCATGAAATCTGATTCACGGGGATGCTGTGTGTTCAGAGCTCTGTTCTTTGGATTTGAATGTTTATTCTTTGACTGCAAAAGACACCCAAAGAGAATAAAAACGTTAGAAAACGTGCAACATTCATATCATTTCATGGAAGTATGAGCTTCAATTAAAATCAATTGCTTGAGTTATGAGCTTCAATGTGAAAAATTCTATCACTTCCATGAAATTGCACGGAGTCTTCGAATAAGTACTGATTCCCGTCCCCGAAACATCCCCGTTTGAGTACTTGGAGATGCCCAGACACCAAATTCTTTGCAAAATTTGGAAAAGTGGTGTTTTCCCGATCCCGACCCGGTCTACGTGCAACTTAGTTTCCAAGAGATGACTGATGAGGACTCAACAGTGCAAGTGCCAACTGCCAACAAGTCAATACTTTTTTCTACATGATATTAACCCTTAGAGAAACTTCTAAATTTCAAACAGCAGAGGACATTTGATGAGTGACAGAAGATAGAAACAAAGTCACTCTTTCATTAAGCAATTGCACATTATTGGTTGTTTTTATAGAGTTTATTTCCGGAGGCAAAACATGAAAAAATGAATAAATAAAAAGATTCCGCAATTCTATTTCTCTTTCAAGGTTTAACATTTGAGTTTTGTGTTAAACCATATCACATCAGTCAAATTTAAAAACAAAACTATATAAAAATACCTTATTTGAAACAGATTTGGAAAACCCATAGCGATCACCACCATCATCATCATCTTCTTCACCTGAAGAGCTCACACTCTCTTCACCATCAGAAGAAGGCTTGTATTCATCGTCTTCTTCCTCGGCGCCCGCCTTCCTTTTGCCTTTCTTGCCGGAAATTCTATTTTGAGGCTTCGGAAGGGAACCCAATAAGGAAGTTGCAATTTTGCGAAGGCCCAATGCCTCCATTCTCGCTCTGTTCTCCTCGATTCTCTTCAATCGTTGTTTCTCGTAGGGTGAAAATTTCCCCTTTTCTGGAGTTTCGGTTGCAGGTTGTTCAGATTCCGAGCACGATTGGGAGCTCTTCGACGGAGAAGAGTCGGAGGATCCAAGACTCGACATTTTCTCCTACGGCCGGGGGGAGTTCTGATAAGGACGTTGCAACTGGCCTTAAGGGATACTCTGTGCCTTTTTCCAGGAGCCTGGAAGCTTGCCTACCCAGTTCCTACAGCACTGCCACGCCCCTCATCAACCTTGATTTGGATTTTTTTTTACAAAAAAAAAAATGAGTCACATTCTCGTATTAATATGATATTTTCTGAGGAGGAGAAAGACTAAAGTAGTACTAAAACATTGAAAATATACTAAAATAAGACTTTCATGTTTTTATTTTCAAAATAGAACTTACATTACCATTAACACCAAGTTTCCATGACATTGAGTTCCAATGTCATTGGATGGCCCGAGTGTGCTCTGGTGCCCCGTTCGTAAAATTAACGATTCCTACCCCCTAACCCCCTGGTAAACCCCTCCACCTCGTCCCGACCCGAACACACCTCCTACCCTCGTCAAATTTTGACTTCAAAGTTAAAATCAACTTGTAGGATGCAATTGAAGTGGGTGGGGGTGTGTGTTCGGGTCGGGGCAGGGTGATGGTTTACCGGGGGGTAGGAACCGTCAATTTTACGAACGGGACACTGGAGCACCCCCATGTCATCCCATGACATTGGAACCCCACCCACCATACATTGTCATATACATTACCAAAAAAAGTATAGTAATTTGCATATGTACACTGCCACATTATAACAGGGTAAAGTCACATTAACACAGTGCAAAGTCTTATTTCGGGAAAAAAATATAAAAGTCTTATTTTGGTACTTTCCTCTATGTTTTAGTACTATTTAGAGTGATTTTTATATTTTTTGCTTTGGACCAAATCCTCATAGATTTGTTTTGGATATCTCCCAAACATTTGTTTTGGATATCTCCCAAACAGCTTCATACTAATGAGATTTGAGTAACCATATAAATATTGATTTCCTTTCTCTTTTCCATACGGTGTGGGAGGGGTTTCATACCCAACAAACCTCCCCTCAAACTTAGATCACACAATCACGTGACCTCCCCTCCAATGATTATTCGTTTTTGATCTGTCATCTTCTTGTACCATCAGTGGGCGCAACAACTTGCGGGACACGCTGCCCGACCACCAATCTATGTCGAGAAAACTTTTGACACAAGGCATTCCTGCAGACCTTTACCCCGCTAGGATCCAAGATTCTAAATATTCAATATTACGTGTCTTTTCATAAAGGATGTTAGCGGTAGATTATACAATCAAATGTATTGTTTTATATATTCAAATGTATATTACTTTAGACTATGTTTACGAAAATTCATAAAAAGTTATAAAACAATAATTTCCAAAATAAAAAATTTCCGAGCTAACGTGACAACTCAACATCAAGTAGGAGTATCCTTTGGAGGGGTTGCCGCACCTGAACTCTCGCTTATTGAATTTGTAATATTGTTAAATGTGTGTGCACTCCGTTCATCCAAACTTGCTATAAAGTGTATTAAATTCTTGTTTGAATTTGAAACATCGGTCTGGTTACATAAAATAATTGATTGACTAAAATTACCAACAAGAGAGATGGAGTATGTGATATTGTTCACGGTCTCCAAGATCATACTTTCACCATTAATATCTATATTTATACATAGATATATTTTATAAAAAAATCATATTTCAAAACTACGTTTCACTAAGAATATATTGATATGGAGTATTAAATTTATATCACTGTATAATGTATTTTTTCCATAAATCACAGTCAAAGTTACAAATTTTCACCAAAAAAATCAAATATAAAGAACATTTTACATTCACAAAAAGAAACTGCACGAAATTTATTAATGTATTTATTGGAGCATTAAATAAACACATTTTTCTTGGGGTCCACATGGAATGACCGACACAAAAATTTAAAAGTCGCCGAATTGACCAGATGCGTTTCATCCAAATGGCTTGAAGTCCTCCTCCATCTATCTTCCGTGACTGAAATTAATGTCACATAAATACGGAGTATTTTATCTTTTAACTTTTTTTTCTGGAATAAATATCATTGCCATTAACAGCGCCGGCGCAACCAATGTCGCCGCCCACTCTGCCGCCGACGTCGTCAAGTAAAAACCCGTTATAATTAAATCCCAATTTCAAGTTTACTTATCAAGCATTTTTACCCATAGATTTATTATTATTTTTTTAAAGCACAATTTTTTGTTTTGGAAGGAGAAAGCACAATATATGTTTCTTAGATTTCAAAAACTTACCAGTAGTTTTTATTCCTCCTAACCTCTTCTACAAATCGAACCCTTAAGTCTCCCTGCATCCCACCAGCTTAGCCCTTCTTTTTCACCGCTCTCTTTCTGATGACAACTCTTTATGAAAACTTTGAACATGGGTTATCACATAAAGGGAAAAGGGGGTGGGCTAAGTTGATTTAGAGGGAGCGAATTGGAACATTTAATGAGTTTTTAGTACCCTGCCAATCATAATCGATAAATTTACCTAAATAGGATTAAAACATAATGACTTTCCCAATATAGGACCATATGTTTTTATTTCTCAATCTAAGACCTTTGGTCATTATCAAGTAGTCATTATTCAACTAAATGCTCATGATTACAGGACATTATTCTTTCCACTAGGTCATTATTAAGTCCTATTTAGAGAATAAAAAAGTTTAAGTCCTACATTAGGAAAGTCATTAGCAAATTTCACTAAAAAGAATGGAACGGCAGCCAAAGGGGTATATTTGAACATGCATGGTCTAGTGGGTAAATTAACCCACGCAGCAAACCACATGTGTAATTATGATCACACATGTAAGAAGGTGTATCCATCCATAATTTGTAAACAAATTGATGTGCCCACAACACTAGTTCAAGAGACTAAAAAAAATTAAATAAATAAAAATAAAATAAAATTAATACTAATAGGGTGAAAAGTTTAAATTGACCATATCATAGTAAGTGAATTTTTGTTTTTACATTCACCCAAGAGTGTGTTCTTTTTTAACTTTCAGCAGTGACTTTCAAATAAGTTCAATTCAGTAAATTTCAGCAGAAACTAACAACTGGAACCTAAATTTGAAATTCTGCAAATATTACTGTGATCTGATTCATCCCAAAACAACAAAGAAAAAACAACAGAAGAAACTGAAACCCATCTCTTGCTATATTATGATATCATTCCTTTATCCTTTTATGTATACACATCTGCCCACAACACTCCTCACAAACATTAGCAAATTTCTTTGCAACAACCACAGATATACAAAAAAAACTAACTAAACCCTAACAACTTGTTTCATTTCAGCTTTCAAAGTCAGGAAAATCAACAGTTTTGAACAGAGTTCTTGCTCTGCAAATCTTGATGCATAAAGCCAGTAAGGTATACCTGAGACTGAATGATCACTTTCCCAATTTTGAACCCGGGCACGACCGTGAAGCCGACTTTGGGCCTAGTCTTGCCCAGAAAGAAGCTGTTTTTCTTGGTGACATCTTCCATGTGCACCATTGAGAAGTCTGCCCCTCCTTGCACTTGGAAGATCTCAACGATGGGATTGAACGAAAAGGCCAACTTGTGGAGCAGCCATATTGAACTTGCCATCCTGACAAACAGCTCGCAGAAAACACCCAATGATTTCCAAGAATCCAATATGACTTCCTTGCGGTCCATGTTGCTGAAGATCGACGATTCCATCGTGGGATGGATCAGCTGCTCATACTTCCTCTCGCAGAACCTCGAAAACCCAGAGTTCGGATTCTTTTGTAGAACGTCCATCGGATTACACGACAAATGTTCAACTAGTTGTCTCATGTAGCCATTATCAATGCAACCATTGTTATCATCATCATCATCATGAGTACCAAAATCAGGCTTATCGAAACCACGGAAGATCTGCAGAAAAACATAGGAAAGAAATGCATATTTCTCATGCCCTTCCCCTGCATAATTGACATCAGAATAAACTGAATTCGCAGCCTGCTTCAGATCCCATCCAGCTTTTCTCATCAGCTCCAACAATATCTTGCTAAAACAATGCACAGATTTTATCGAATCGCGCAACATAGATTCAAAAACATGGATTGTCAACACAACATCCATGGCACTGCATGAATTCTCAGTTCTTCTAAGCCCTAATTTCTTCGAAAGACTCGAATTAATGTCCTGGATTTTGTTCAATTTCTTCCTCAAAATCAAAACCTCGTCATCCTTAGACTCAATATCAGACTGTAATCGATTTACCATGGTCTCCAGTGATCTGAGCTTGCTCTGGTTCTCTTGAACTTGGAACTCGAAAACTGACCCGACGGGGAAATACTCGAGATTACAGCTCGGATGTTTCCTGAAACTCCAATACAAATTCCGGATTTCGGTCAATTTCTGAAGAGTGGATACCAGAGCTTTGTCGGCCGATTCAATGGCTTCCTTGCTGAACGGGGCGTGGGCCATTTGAAGCTGGAGATAAGAGGCCTCGAAGGAGGAAACGTTGGCAAAGAGGGAGGAAACGAGGGCATTGGTGAACTGCGCTTTCGCGGTCGGGTCGGGAGAATCGGGCTTGATGACCACAACTTTCTGATCGGGGATGAACTCCTCGGCGGAATTCAGGAGGGCGTAGCCGTCGCCGTCGCCGTCGCCGGCAGAAGTCTCTTCGTCGGCGAAGAGCTCGAAGGTCTTGGCCTTGAAGGCGTGAGCGAATTTCTGAAACATCTCGGAGATTTGCTGGGGCTTCACCGCCGCCGCCGCCGTTCCTTCCGCCTGTGGCATCGCTCAGCTGCTATGGATCCGCATATATCGATTTCGGTACAAATTCTTGGCTTGTTCGTGTGGATTTGCGATCGGAGGAAAAGGTAGAAGCTGCGATTGAAAAGGAGAGGGAATAACCAACCGGAGGAAGTCCAAACTCCGTCAAAATGGCCCGGCGGCCGGCGGGGGGGTTAGGTGACTTAGAAGAAAGGTATGTGTGTCAGCGTTTTCCCCACTTTATACTCATGACTATGGATCATGCTTGGAAAAGAAAATTTGCACGCAAAGATTACCACACCTTTTACTCCCAATTTGAATTTTGTTTTCCTCTTTAATTTGATTTTTTACATGATATTTTTAAATTTTCATCATAATATAAAGAAATGATATACAAATATTGTACTCTTTTCGTCCAAAAATGAAGTAAAATAATAATTTTTTTCAATTTATTATTCCGTATATTTAAAAAATTGGTATATAAATTCAAAATAAATAAAACTTGGAAAATTTAAAAAAAATCATAAAAAATTCTATAAAATAAAAAGTGATAAGAATATTTTATTTTATCAAATGATCAATGAAAATAAACAAATAAAAAAATTCCATTATTTTTAAATAATGAAAAATATACGAGGTACATCATTATAAAATGGAGGGAGAATTAGGATATACACTCCGTATAACAACAAACTTATTTTGGAATATAACTTTTTAAAATATGGAGCGTAATACCTCTATACTTCATCCGTCCCATAATGAAATATACGGAGTATTATTTATTATTGAAAAATCACGAGAACTTTTGTTTTGTTTGTATATTTTCATTGATTATTTTATAAGATACTCCGTAAAATATTTTTATCATCTCTTGTGGTATATAAAATTTTAAATGTAATTTTAAGATATAAAAATTTTATTTTTTATTTCTATATCAATATTAAAATAAAACGCTCTTCAAAAAATATTAAAATAAAATGAGTTTTAGAAAAACAAAAAATTTCCTCCAATTTGCGTAAAATATACGAGTAAATCATTCGACATAGGCAGTAAAAGTAACCCCCTCTCCTAGTCTCTTCAACTTGCATTATGATGGCAAGTTTGACCTCCTGCTCTAGATTTTGTATTTGAGATTCATGGTGATTAAATTTGGAGTAAATTGTTAAAATGATCTTTTTCTAATTAGATATTTTTTCAAATTAGTCTTCAATAAATTTTAATTATTTATATGATACGGAGTACTTTATAATTGAAATTTGTTTTCTAAATACTACTATGTACAACATTTCACTTAAATGTCGATTAAGTAGAGAATGTTTTGATATTTTTATCACCTAAACTTAGAGTTATTTTTAAAATAATCATTTCTAATAAAATGTTTTTCTGAAATGGTCTTTTCTTATCAAAGAGGTGTATTTGATTCAAACTTAAAATATTTTGATAAAATTTTTAATAATTTATGGATTATGTATTGTCAATTATTGTTTTAATTTCACGTATAATTGTATAGAAGTGATCATTTTGATAATGGAAATAACAAAATACCCTCTAATTAGTCACCATTTAAGTTACATTTTTAAAGAAGCACTATTTAGAAAATACATCTTAATTATAAAGTACCATGTATATAATTAGAATTTATTGAGAACTAATTTGAAAAAATACATCATTAAGAAAACTATTTTGAAAATTTACTCTTAAATTTGAGATGAGATGAGTATCCATGCATTTTAGATTTTTTTTTCTCCTATATAAAGTACCAAGATATGGTCAAGGGCATAAAATGAGACTGAAAACAATTTCAATGATGTATTTATTTATGTGCTTCCCAATTCATGATGTGTGAAAGATGATTTTATGTTTGAATTTAGGGGATTTGAGAAATGTTTTTGATTCCAACAGTTTTTTATTCGAGACCCGATTCAAAAATATTGAGTTTTGAACAAAGGTTTTCTTACTGAACTCAAAATAACCCACTAAAATTTGTCATATTTGACTGAACATTAACCCGACCGACACACTACCAAAAGAGTTTTTCAAAATCACGTGCTTTGATATGAAAAATGATGTAATAAAAATTACATTATGTTTTTATTTTTCTCTTATTACTCGATTTTAGGGTATAAACTTGTATTTTTAAACAAGTTTTTGATGATATCACATACTGCTTCCGTCACATAGTATTCGTCTAGTTTGACTTTTTTCGAGTCAAACTGACAAGCTTTGAGCCTAAATTAAATAAAAACTATAATGTATATTAGTATAAAAATGATTTTAATATATTGAACTTATTTAGAACTTTCAAAAATATATTCCATTGTATTAATATGAAATACAAATTGAGAGTACTTCATGATTAAAGTTTCTCCAATTTGGCTCGAAAAAATCAAACTGAACGAATATTCTAGGACGGAAGGAGTAATACGCAGTTATGTTACATTTTTTCCAAAAAATAATACTATCACCTTCCTCGAATATTTGTCCAATTCTAAATATCCGGTCAAAATTTAAAAAACTTGACCACAAAAGTCATAATGAGAAGTTAATTTTATGACGGAGAGAGTACTTCGTAAACATAAAAATGAGACCGAATATATTGGGCATAATCCATAATACTCCGTATATACCTACTAGGCCAGTCCTAAACATACGAAGTACTCTTATTACAAGCTCCCTAATTTCTTGTGATATGTAATACAAGAAAATACAATTAAATTATGGGAGAGAATTCAAATGTTCAAATGTTAAGTGGCTTTGCGTCTTAAAGAGCCCGGGATTTTTTGAACGTTCCAAAAAGAAAAATGTGAAATAAATTCGAGACAAATATATGACATATGGCAGAATTTTTGGGACATATTAGAGCAAAAACACAAAAAAATAGTGAAACAAAGGAGTATTAATTGAACTCCAATTATAAACTTGAGTTTATAACAAGGGCAGCTTTAATGGGAACAAAGTGTAAAAGACAGAAGAAATTGTGGGAGAAGGGGGGTCACTTTGTAATATGAGTAGAAATTTGACAACAATATGTTGCATTTTGATTACTTAATAATAACACTCTGTAAGAAAAATACACCTACAAATCACTTCAATGAGTAAAAAAACGAACATTTCACATTTGGATTCACATACAGATTCATTTATTATACGGGTAGTTTTTGAAATTTGTATCGGTTTGTATATGTGAACAATTGGAACCCAAATCTTGTAAACGAATCCGAGTCCCGAGCTACTGTATTTGTTTAGTGGGTGGGGTTCAGTCATTGAAATGTACCACTCAACAAATTCAGTTGGAGCATATTTGATGTGGATAAAAAGAAGTTTAATGAATGAACTCAAACGGGGGGAGGGGTAAGGGACACTCTCCCCCCCAACCCTACTTTTCCGGGATTTTACTGGGCGTATTGTTGTTGTAATGAATGAGCTTAAATTGTACCTCGAATGTCATTTGATGCCTGGCTTTCATTGTGTCCTCTTGCTTGGCGAAATTCTGGAGCCGGAAACTATGAATAGTTCTCTTTCATGCTGAAAAATTTGCTTGCTTGGCACAACTTTAATGCATCATCCTCTTGTATTGCTTTGGATTTTCAATGAGGAAGTGAAGAACTCTAATAATCTGCTGCAAGTCCGTGTTTGTGGCACTTTTGCTTAGGCCAAGAATCGCCTAAAAATTTCGGGTTCTCTTGGAAACAGTTTAAATTAGTTAGGAGTAGTAAAATTTCTAGCAAAAGAATAAACTTTAACCTCTATAAATGTTCACTTCTTGAGTTTTATTTATCATTGAAACTTATTGTGTATATTTATCCACATATTTTACAATGCACGCGAATCAGGAATGTATCTAAGAGACCTTACATCCATGAGATGAAGCAAGTCAAAAGGAATCGGACCGTCAAAACTGCAAGAGGACAGCTCTGTTTTGCTGATTAAGCATCCAGATTTGGACCTGGATAAGCTGGCAAACTCATTATACGCTTGTCGACCACCGCACCTCCTACTGTGAAGTGGTAAATGCTTTGGTACTCTGGTCCATCTAGCCCAAGAACTTCGTGTACTGGAATGTGCAATGACAATGCAGGTTTTAAAGGTTAGGGGTATTTTTTTCTGTTGGGGGGGGATGAGTTTAAGAGAAGAGAACATACCGGGATCATCAAAGAAGCAACCAATGCCAGTAGCAGAGATGCCGACTGCATAGGCCTCAAGGTACAAAACCTGGCCAAGAACTCCACTCTCCCAAAACAGTCTAGGATACATCCAAGCTCTCTTTCCACCCAGAATGGGCTCGAAATGGGCTATCATACCTAGGCTGAAGCAGCCATCACTGGCAATGTCCTGTTCATCCATATTTTCTCATGATTAAAGAGATGTATAGACGTTTCCGTAGTCTTATTGGAAGAGAAAATAGACAATCATAAATGCACACCAAGGAAGACAAGCACATAGTTGACAAACGCGCTAGTTATCTAGAATTGCTTTGTTCTTAGAGTAGAGACTTATTTGGAGGAATATGATTTTCCGACTTCCTAGATTGAAACTCACCGTGTTTTATTATGTTAAACAAACACAAACTAGTGTTCTTCACTTCCTAAGCTTTCAACCAAACACCAGAAAATGCATTGATTCCCCTCATTTTCCATCTTTCCAAACGGACCCTGAAAGACTACGACTTGACAGTCATAAATACCTGATGGCACGAGAGCCGTTTAGAGAGTTCTTGACAGTCTCCTCTAGCAAGCTCATATAGAGGAAGGCCATCGGGGCATCCATCCGGTTTCTCCCATTTGAACTCTGGCCTAGTGGCCTTCCTAATTCCATCAAAATGGTTTTCATTCCTCACCAAGAAGTACAAGCCGCTAGGCAAGCCCACAACCCTATGGACAAAAAGAACAGCATCTACTTCACATTCCCAACAAAGTGCCCTAAATGGCAATGCCAATTGCCTTCCATGCTTTAATCCACTCCCAAAACCTGAAGGCATACAATGCAACAAGATTTGATAAAATGTTTCTTTCGCTATGCCAGTGTGGCCATCCATATCAACCGCACTTCTTCTTTTTCTGACAATATCTCTCAAACTATATCCCTTGTAACAACTTTCGCCAAGCATCCCACTTCTCTGAAAGGGGTCTATGATTGATCCTTCCAACATTGTAACGGGTTTTTTTGCAGCTTCCGCAGTTCTATAAATGATGTCCCAACAAACATGCTCTTTACTAAGCAAATTAGGCTTACCCTTCCACTCCACAACAGACAACTCCGAAATAGCAGAGATTAACTCGTTATAATCCACATTATATTCAACCAATGATGAACTAGGGAAAACCAAAAGAACACAATCGGGATGCTCGAACTCAATTTCAGGCATTCTCCCTTTCACCGGCCTGTCAGGAATTTTGAAGTTCGGAAAGCAATCAAGACCCATTAACTTCTCCAACTCTGCATAGCCTAACCCATCAAGAACCTTGACATCCCACCCTAGCCCAGCTGCAGCCATAGCAACCGCGGCAATGGCATGCCCCACGTCATGATTGCAGTACCTAAAAGCCCTTTCTCCATACTTCCATGCCTCCCTCCAAAAAATTGAGGACAGCCCAACAAGAAAAGAATTCTTTGGTAATATCCGAGCAAGGGATTCGAATGGCACTTCTGCTCTGATCTCCAAAGAATGCTCTTTCGGAGCATAATGGGCGACGAAACCGTGAGAGCAAAGGGATTCGATCGGGGGAGAAATGAGATACGCCTCAGTAGGATGCAGATTCCCGCTGCTAGGGTTTACCCGGAGGGACCAGGTTGAAGCCCCGGCCGTTTTCCAAGCTGATAAGGCGAGAGAATCGTAGAAAAGCCGGGAAATGGTAGAGAGACAAAGGGATCTCGGAGACGGGAGAGAAGGGAAGACCTCGGCGTAGAGAGGGGATTCGCCGGAATTGGGAGAGGGAGGGTGCAGGAGAGGGACGAGTGGGGCGGCGGCGTAGCGGCGGAAAGGGTTCGGCTGGTTTGCCCAGTCCAGGCCGCGAGGGCCGCGGGCGTAGTTGTTGAAGGAGTGCTTTGTCTGGTTGTGGTATCGCAACACTTGAGCTATGGAGGCTTCATTAGCTTCCTTGTTGTCTGATTCTCTGGTAGATGAGGGTTGTGAGGACCAAGTAGACATTGAGCGGATTGGGATTACTTTGCGGGCGGCGGACGCGGCGGCGGCGCCGGTTGGGAGGCGGCTTTGGTGAAGTGAGACTGGAATTCTGCAGGAAATGAGGCATTTCGAGAGGATCTCTTCTTGAGATGTTTCCTAATTCCTATAGTTGCCTAGAGTGTACACCCCCATTTGTCCCCCCCCCTCCATGGGAAAATACATTTTTGTAATTCAAATTTCTTGAACCAAACATAGTGCTAGTGTATTTTATTTCAAAATTTTTGTAAAAGAAAGCAAATACTCCCTAGGCAACTATAGGAATTAGGAAGAGCCATGCTAGGGGTACACCAAAGATGTACCCCATTTGTCCCCCACCCCCTCCATTACCACAAAAATGGGCAAAAAATTAAAACAAAATTAAATAAATAAAAATGGGGTTAAAATGAGTGATAGAGAAAGGGGTGGGGGACAAATGGGGTACACCTTTGGTGTACCCCTAGCATGGCTCTTCCTAATTCCTATAGTTGCCTAGGGAGTATTTGCTTTCTTTTACAAAAATTTTGAAATAAAATACATTAGCACTATGTTTGGTTCAAGAAATTTGAATTACAAAAATGTTTTTTTTCATTTTTAACTAAAATGGAAAAATTTTGGTTTTTCTTCCACTAAATATATTTGTCTTCCCATTTTCTTTTCCTCTCTAACCAAACAAGAAAAACTTTTTCTACTTCATTTTCATTTCTTTTCCTTTTCAAATTCTTTGAGCAGTGCAAGTTGTATTCTAATTTTTACATCCAACTATCTAGGTAATGAATTTTTGGCTTCGATAAAAAAATAAGAAATAAATAAGGAATGTATTAAGAAGTGGATAAAAATTGTGCGAAAAAAGATTATTAGTGTATAAGTTGAGTTATAACTTGGTGTATCCTAGTTACCCTTTTTTATTTGAAAGATTAGGTTTTCCATTTAACGGACTAATCATAAACCTTAAGACTTTACTAAACAACGTATTCCCAATCGTCTTCTTAATAGATCCCCTCGAATTCCTAGTAGTTCCAAACTCTAACACTAACAGTGAAATGAGATATCTGCAACTGATCAGACTAAAAACTAATTCAGGATTTAGACGTTCATTGATGGAAACCGTCTGAAGAAGAAATTTATGTATTGGAGGTGGTGACCAAATGGGACACTACAACTTGTTGAATATATTTTGAAGGTTAGATCTTTTATACTAGCCGACATACCGCATTGCAACCCACCACAAGAAGAAGCACTGACCTCCGACTTTGACACATGGATTAGTACATAAAATTTGCCTTTACTCATTTGGTCATAATCAAGTTGGGCTTAGATATTTTTAGAGCATCAAAATTTTCCAATTTTTTATCTGAAACAATATGCATCTATATCTAGCTAAAGGTGTTACAATATCTACTCTATTTATGTAAAATTAATAAATTTACCCTTAAAAGTTGTTAGCATTTGATGGTGTAAATTGCCACCCGGGTAAACTACTCTAGACCGGGTCTAGGGTGATAATGTTGAGAACTAAAAAAATGCAGTAAATGGAGATTGACCGGGCAGACTGTAGGTGGGAACACATGTAATCCAATTGTTATTAAGTATGAGAAGAGTACATGGTGGTATTACACAATATGCGTTTAGAGAAATGAATTTTGGATCTCTTCCATTGATGGTTACAATGGCATTTATAGGGTAGAGTGGGGGATAGGTCGCCGCTTGCCCATATTGAGCCATGTAACGAGGTGACATCTTCTCGTCTTGTAGCGTTTGTCTTTTTCCAAGATTGGCAATCACGAGAGTTTGTCATGTAGTGTTTGGACACATTCGTCGGTGCAAAGGATCCGATTCCTTTCAAGTACTACCTTCCAAAATACGCCGAACTGAAGATATGTGCAAGCTTCGATAAAACACCCAGTTGTATCTTTTGGGAAGATCCATCCGGTTGGTTAATAGATTCACCCTGATTGACCTGCTTTCGGGCCGATGATATCAAGTGTTCGAAGTCCACTCGAGTGGTCTTGGTCCACCCAGTCATTCTTCCCATTACTTCGTTTTCATCCTCAAGATATGTCTTGTGATCCACCCGGTGGATCACTGTTATGCAGGGTCTAGTTTGTATCCTGGGTGGGAGTACACCCATCAATATCTAATATTCCTTTTATGTATTTTTAAGGTTAAAGTGTTGGAATGCATGAGTTTAATCTTTTCTGTGTTGTTTAGTGTTGACTCACAGGTTTTGATAATTGACAAACATAATTTATTCAAGTCAAGATCAAAGTGCTACAACGACAAACACGAAGACTTGAAGTGTCATTCCTTGATGAAATTCAAGAAGGTGCACATGATTTTATTGAAGTCCGAGACGCGTTCGGAGCGCCTAACTAAGGACTCAGAGGAGTAGAAGATTTCCGAAGACTTTTTGTTTATTTGAGTCGTAGGAATAATGGTAAGGATGACAAAAATATCTTCTCTCCAAAATTATTTTTATGAGAGTTAAAATAAAATTATATTTAATTTTAGAGTCAATTGAAAAATCTTTTTAATTGTTCAAAATAGTTTTATTGAGTCAGTTACAAAAGGTGTGTCAAACATTTATCAAATATTTATTTTGATATTATAAAATATTTTTGGTAAGCAAAAATATTTTGTTCAAATATTTTTCGTGTACATCGTTTGATACACAAAATAATTTCTGGACTCACTTTTACTGCCTTATTCAAATTCATTGAATAAGAGAGGAAGAGCGCTCTCCGATTCTCGTTGTCTCAAACAATGAATGCTATGCCAATTCGCAACTGGCTTGGGCCCTTTGTGTTGCGCCATTATTTCCTGAATAATCGATTTTCTGTCTTGTTTTAATATATTTTTTTTGTTGTCGCTCGTTTCCTTTGGCTGGCCAGTAATCGATTTTTGCTCCTCTGTTAATCGATTAAGGCTGGCAGCGCCGACCAATCGATTTTTCTATCCTTCTTAATCGATTATTTCTGCGGAGGAGGAATTTTGCTCATACTGCACTAATCGATTATTGGCACTGCATTAATCGATTATTATGCTGCATCTTTTCAGCGCAACTTCTTATCTTGGACCAACGGATATATTTCTTCACCTCCTATTTAAACACCCTTCCTTGGTCATTTTTTAGAATAAGAAACACTCCAATACTCCCCATTCTTGAGGTGTTAATCCTCCATCAATCTTTCCTCAAATTTATATCATTTTGAAAGAAAAACTATTTGTTTTTAAGAGAGATTTCTTGTCATCCATTAGAGCTAAACATTTTCTCATTCCTACTCTTTTGAGAGCTATTGTTGAGAGGTTGAAGAATATTGTTCTTCTTGTTGTTCAAGACTTATGTGACTTAAGTCTTGGTTGTGAAATCTTGTAGAGGGCATATCTACGAGCGGTTGTGTCGAGGCTTGTGGGATTCAAGTTCTCGAGTTGTAAATGGTTTGTTAAGCACCCGTAAGCTTAACGGAAGTAGTGGTAGCTTCGAGAGAGTCTCTCGGGGAACTGGACTAGCCACGAGGTGGTGAACGAGTATACATCGATGTGTTCTTTGTCTTCTCTCTTTTATTTCCGCTGCACTTACGTTTATATTATTAATCCTGCAAAAATCGGTAATCATTCTCAACAACTCTATTCACCCCCCCCCCCCTCTAGAGTTGCACGCATTGTCTAACATAAAGTAGTTCATTTAACCATAAATGGAGTAGATGTAGTTACAATGAGGGTGGATATAACAACACCCTTTATCTAATTGAAATATATGTGTATTTCCGTTTTTTCATACAAATTTTAATTTTGTATCGGGGGTCTAAATAGAACGGATTTTGAATTTTCATCAATAATCAACTCATACTTATTAATTGTTTGGTCATCATTTAAAATATCATGAGACACTAAGTTGGCAAAGAAAAAATTTGGCTAAAATTGTTGGGAATGATGGTATTGTTTAGGAATAATTTTTTCAAGCATTAGTATTTTGGATAACATTTTAAAGATATAGAGCAACTTTGAAAATGTTAATGTTGTTGTTAGATAGTTTTTTCCGAAACACTAACTCTAACTTCTAGCTTGCTTTCAAATTAACCCGATGTACTCTTAAGGCTTGGTCTTTTCTCTTAGAATTTTAAAGTTGGATGTTAGAAGACACAAAAAAAGTTGGAAAAACTCGAAGAATGTAGAAAAATTTGGAAGAAGTTGAAAAATATTAGAAAAGTTAAGTATTAAAAAAATTACTCAATAAAATTATCACCTAAATAAATACTTTGTATGTTAGAAAACTAATTTTAGATATAAAAAAAATAATTAATCTTTGTTGGTGTTCGATGTGATATTTTATAAGTTCGGATATATGATTTATTGTATATTCGTCACATGCAAATAAATTTTTTAAGTCATTATTGAAAGAAAGTGGACAGAATTAGAAAAAATTAAAATGACTTAAAAAATTGAAAACTAATTTTTTAATCCAAATGTTTTCAGAACATACTCTCTTCAACTTGTTTTTAATACTTATTCTAATTGAAACCAAATCAGATCAGATTAAAACAAAATCTAAATATAACTACAATCAAACTAGATCAGATCAAACCTTATTTTTCAATCCTATCATAATTAAGATCAGATCAGATCAAGCGAACGAAACACAACCTTAATCTTTATCAAACTAGATCAAATCAAATCTCATTTCAATACTATCATAATTTATATCAAATCACATCAGACAAAGGGAAGGCAATGTTAGTCTTTATTCACTTGAGAGTTGGAGTTGGGGGCTTAAATTGACAGTTGGTGTATGGTATGACTGTACGCGTTCCCATCTCCGCGTATTAAACGCTACTCCGTATATATGATAATGTCTTTATATAAGTCATAGAGAATGATAGAAGCAATAGAACTCTCCCTTCCATTAACACAATTCTCTGTTGACTTCCCCCTTCCTTCCTTCTTGAATCTCTTCTCCCTCTCATCCATTAGTCCACGCCTCAAATCTCTCTTTCAATCACCCATTTCTCCATCGTCAATATTTTCCCACTGTCACCAACCCGCCCAGCCGGAGCCAGAAGATTCCCACAAATAAAGGTCCCCATACACTTTCACCCGCTCCTTTTTTTTCCCTTTTTGTTTTCAACGCCAGCCTCAATCCCTTCTGTCAATACCCTCCCTCCCACAGAGAATGCGGATTCATTCGTTCCTGGAATTCGCAGATTTCTTGGGAGAAAATTGAAAAGATTGGATTTTTCTTTCTTTCTTTCTTCTTCTTTTTTTACCCGTTTCTAACCCTAGGCTTTTGTTCCCGGAAATTCCTGGGTAGCTTTGGTGTTTGATAAAGCGTGAGGGCAATCGGAGGTGTGGGTATTGTTTGAATCTTGGAGATTTGGGGATAATAGGATGTCCCAGATGAAGCACATTGATAATATTCCTTCTACCCCTGGGAAAATCAAGTACAATCGGACTAGACTCCATTCTTCCCTGGCCAAGCTGACCTTCTGGTCATTTCTCTTCTTGGGGTTGATCTATGTTGTGTTCTTCAGATCACCTTCTTCCTATTCTTCTTCTACTTCCTCCGGACCTTCGGATCTCTCTAGGAGGTCTCTGAGGACCAGCTCCTATGGTGGCCCGGAATGGGAGAAGAAGATTAGGGCCTCTGCTAAGGTTAGATCAAGAAATGGGATTTGTGTTTTGGTTACCGGGGCTGCCGGGTTTGTTGGAACCCACGTCTCCGCTGCCCTCAAAAGGCGTGGAGACGGCGTCTTGGGCCTGGATGTGTTCAATGATTACTATGACCCGTCCTTGAAAAGGGCCCGCCAGGCTCTGCTGGAGCGCTCCGGCGTCCACATTGTGGAAGGGGACATCAACGATTCCGCCCTCTTGATGAAGCTCTTTGGCATTGTTCAGTTCACGCACGTGATGCATTTGGCAGCTCAAGCTGGTGTCCGGTATGCTATGCAAAACCCTAGCTCCTATGTCCACAGCAACATCGCGGGCTTTGTTAGCCTTCTAGAGGTCTGCAAGAGTGTCAATCCTCAGCCTGCTATAGTCTGGGCATCCTCTAGTTCAGTTTATGGATTGAACACCAAGGTGCCATTCTCAGAGAAGGACAGGACAGACCAGCCTGCGAGCCTATATGCTGCAACCAAGAAAGCCGGTGAGGAAATTGCCCACACATATAACCATATCTACGGGCTTTCCTTGACCGGATTGAGATTTTTCACGGTTTATGGACCATGGGGAAGGCCAGACATGGCTTACTTCTTCTTCACAAAGGACATTCTGAAAGGGAAGCCGATTCCCATATTTGAGGCGCCGAACCATGGCACGGTTGCTAGGGATTTCACTTACATAGACGACATAGTGAAGGGCTGTTTGGGGGCATTGGACACTGCTGAGAAGAGCACGGGGAGCGGTGGGAAGAAGAAAGGGCCGGCCCAATTGCGCGTGTTCAATCTCGGGAACAAATCACCCGTGCCCGTTTCAGAGCTTGTGAGCATTTTGGAGAGATCACTGAAGACGAAGGCGAAGAGGGAGATCAAGAAGCTTCCGAGGAATGGGGACGTGCAGTTTACCCACGCGAATATCAGTTTGGCCCAGAGGGAGTTAGGGTACGAGCCAACGACCGATCTGCAGACGGGTTTAAAGAAATTCGTTAGATGGTACCTCAGTTACTATGGTCATCATGGAAAGAAGACTGCATCCCAATGATCCCATCCATTCCATTCCATTCCCTTTGGTGTTGTGGGTAGGACACCATTCAATATTTCTTCCCCATTTTGGATTCTTGCTGTTGTTTCTAACCCATCATCCCATTTCATTGCTCCAATTTTCTTGTTTTTTTCTTGATGATCATAATGATGATGATGATGCCATAAAAAGGGGTTCATTCATCTGATTCCACAATGAAGGAAAAATTTATAGAGGGAAAGATATATATATGTGTGTGTTTGCTTGGCATTGGATCTGCATCCATCCAATATCAACGAGACCAAATCTTAGTACTGTTTTGAGTGTGAGTCTTGTACCTTAAATTTATTGTTGTGTACCATTGTTTTCCCTCACTTAAGTCTAGTTGCTGATTGAACACATATATATGTATTCATTACAAAAACCCAAATGAAGAGTTATACTACCCCTGCAATAATTGTCTGTCTCATCGATGGATCGTCGCGAAATTATTTGGTTGTCAATCTAAATACAACTTATGAACCCTCTTTTTTTCTTTGTTTAATTATTGTTGTTGTTACTCTCTTCATTCCAAAGAACAGTTTTGGATTTGATCTGACATAGTTTCGTTAAGAAACTTGAATTATGTGTTTGAGATTCATGCAATGAAGATCAGAAAAAGAAAGGTTTTTTTTAATTAAAGATTATTCATTGTTTGGTTGGCTGTTTGATTGATTTGCAGTGATGTTTTTCCCCCCTTATAAACCTTTTTTTGGTTCATTTGTTGTTAAAACGTTGTTTTCTCCCAGAAACTGTGCCAAACATTCACTTACACTGACTTTAGAAAATTGACTTTTCAAGTTTGCCAAAAAAAACTGTACTCCCAAGTACCAAAGTAGGAACATTTGTTTTGGATAGAGATAATTTTAGCACCTTTTGATAGTGTTTTTGGTGTTTGCTTTTTTTTTTAAAGCTTCTTGTGACAAAGATAACGAATTCTGAAGTACTTTTGAATTCTTTGTTCGAAGCAGTAACTGTTCCAATGTGTGAGGCGTAGCCAAAAGGATGTATTTTCCTCTTAATACGTCGTGACAAACTTGTAATAAAAAAATTGTTTTGGATTGAATATTATGATGAACGGGCTTCAGAATGATAGTACAATTGAAATTGAACATTTTTTTATTCAAAATGAATATACCCTATGTGATAGAATTTAAGATGAGGTAATGGTGAGTGGATTGAGTCATACTTGATAAAACATTTTGATTGAATTATATTTAAAAGATTAAATTGAACCGATTAATTAGTCCAACTTAAAAGTTTATTAACTTGATACATTATTCCCAATTTTTAGATGAGGGATAGAGTCTAATACTCATCCTGAAGTAGACAACTAAATCATTTTGAATCTAATTGGTTGGCCATATGCAAATGGTCTTTCTTCCCCTTGAACCTAATATTTGAGAATGCAATGGCAAAACTTATATGACTATGATTTGTTGGCTATGGACTTCTAGACAAAAGTTCGAATTAAATGAGTCACATGTTATTTTACAACTGGGCTAAAGATTGATGGACCGTTAGGAATGAAAACCTAGACGGATACCTTGACAAATGAGTGGAGCCAAAACGTACTTCGTTACCATTAAAAGATTTAATTCAATCAATTAATCAATTTAACTCAAGAGCTTATAAACTTGTTATATTCTTCTCTATTTTCTGACATACTCTACCACCAAGTGTACTCTACGTACAACGGGCTGCACGGTATTGATTCTCCCTTGATATTATGCTTCCAAAACTTGCCTTTTTGTTTCTAGATGTTTCAAAAAAGACATCTCTCACTTTGTCTACTTTCCTCTAAAATATATGGATTATACTGAAACCAATTCATTAAATGTTAAAAACAGTATTGTCTTTGTTTAGAAAAATCGCTCTTATTTTTACCATTGATAGGGATATAGAGTGTACATTTTGTGGCTGATTTTTTAATTTTTTCTTTGATGTGACGTATAAAAATATACTTTCTCCATCTCTAAAAGATTGTCATAGTTTGACTTTTATGGTCAAACTGTGACAATCTTTTAGACAGAGAAAGTAATATAATGGATAGATTAATACGAAGTAGTAAATAGATGTGATAGATTAAGTATGGTTTATTATGAGTAAAATAGACTTTATAGTTTATAATATAAAGTGAGTGTTTTATTGAAAAAATGGAAAAAATGAAAAATAAAATATTTTAAAAAACTGGGGGAGTAATAGTTATCATCTAATTCATTTTATACTCATATTTAGTTATACTCCCTTTGCCCCAATTTAAATAATCTGTTGTTTACGAAGTTTGACTTGTTGGGAAGAAAGAGGATGAGAAATTTGAAAGAGGAAGAAGCGGGATGGAAAACATCTTCCGAAAAAAATATTACCTTTCATTTTCGCTTTCGTTTTTTTGTTTGACTGACTTGTTTTCCATTGACAGTCATTTTCTATTTTTACCAAACAACGGAAAATGGAAGAAACGACTTGTGGAAGTCATTTACCAAACGAACCCTTATTTGCAGTTAGAGTATTTTCAAATGATATGAAGTGTACAATTTTTTTGTTAGAATTACTCAAAAAAGCATACTGCCTGGTCGACTCCTAATGAGAACATTACACTATTTTATTATGTTCTAGATTTAACTGGGGGAAATTACAATGTGAACCACACTATTTTCTTTGAATGAAACAAAAAAGTGTTTAATTTCTCAGAAAAAAGGCCGAAATAAATTAAACTTTAATCAAAATATGTCTGACTAATAAAAAAACATGCACATGATACATAAGAACACTGATACATACTGAACATGTTTGCATTTTAGTGTTGTTGTCTTTACAATGAAACATAACCTTGCTTTGAGGACAAGTACTGAAAAACAAAGCTGAAAAAGAAAGCAAACATAACAACAACCACAACAACAACCAAGTTGAATCTCACAAAAGTAGGGCTTGGAGAGAGCTTGGAGAGAGTGTGTATGCAAACCTTACCCCTACTCAAAAGTAAAAAGACTGTTTCCAAAGAGACCCCCGACTCGGAGCTTATTTGCTTCAGGTTATTCTTTTTACTTATTACCTATTCTAATTGAAATCGGATCACATTGGAAACAATTTTAAATATTACAATCAGATCATATCAGAACTTAATTGAATTTGATCCGAACGGAAGAGAACAAGCCCCCAAGCACCACCGGTAATCACGTATAATACAGCCTCACCTCTAAGTTTAAAACATAGAGCGTTGTTTTTGGATGAGCCATGATGAGGGTCGAAGGTTGCATTGATTAACTGCTACTTCACTATTAAAAGAAGCGCAGACAGTTTAAAGAGTCATTTTGCTTCATTCCGTCATACCCCAAAGCCAAAACATAGTGAATCTTTGGCTCCATTGGAGATGATGGAAACAAAGAAAGCATAGATAAAAGGAGTGGAAATCGAACGTTAAACAACCGGGAAAGAGATAGGTTTTCTGCCTGGCCATGTTTCTATTTTCTGGAAGTACTTCACTGGCACGACACCGTCAAAACCTTCCGTCAATATGACCTTATTGTCAGAGACGTAAAGCTTCATTCCTTCTGAAGTTCAAGAAAAGATAGAAAAAGGATAAATTCTAATAAGATCCATTGTTGATATTGTACTCCTTGAGTCCATTGTCTTCTCTCTCTCTTTTTTTTGTGGAACCAAAAAATTATCTCCTCTTTTAAAGAACTAGTTTCTTTGGACACCTATCATGGGTGTAATAAGGACCCTGGGCAACTCGAGGACCCCACAGTGCCTCGTTTGATCCCAAAGTGATTCCTGCCCCCTAATCCAAAGCATAACGACAAAAAAGGGCATGGAGGTGGTTGGGGGGTTGGTGGAAGGGGATAAAGAGGTAGGAATCCCTTAGGGATCGAATGGAGCATTGTAGGACCCTCAAATGGCATGGGTGTCAAAACAATCCCAGTCTTTCAATTAAAGAAAGATTACATTGTTCTGCTCTCTTCTAAAAAAAAATCTCAATCACAGAATTTCCGCTTTACTAAAGATAGTTCACGTCCAAATTGGTAGATAAAAAAGGACGAATGGAGGGAGTAATACAAAAATACCTTCCAATGCCTTCTTGACATCCAGAAAGATTACCATATTGATATCTCGCCTCATTCCTGCATAAACGGGAAACATGCCTCACTAGTCATTAACTAGAATAAATTCTCCTTTAGTCCCAAATCTGAGTACTTGTTTTGACTTTTGTGATCATAGTTTATAAAATTTGGTAGATTTTTTTAAAAAAACACATTGAGTTATATTATGAACTTAATATCATTACACTCATTTTGAAATTTAGTTTTGAAATGTCATACTTTTATAATATTTATTTATGTACGGTTATAAATATCAATGATCAAAGCATTGCATTAGAAACTGTAAAAGTCAAAGTGGAAATTAATTTTGGGATGGAGGTAGTAGCTGCATCTCGCAGAAGTCAAGAAAAACGTGTTTCAGAAAGAGTATGCTACACTTGTAACCATTCACCAGCTAATATCTTCTTTCAAACAGTATCTTTAACAACAATTTCCTACCTCCATCTATATTTATCTTCCTACTTTCCTATTTGGGTTGTCTTAAAATTTTCTTCCACTTTCTTTTAAAGGAAAAAGTTGTGTGGTCCATATTATATCTCTTTCTCTACACAAACCACAACCACACAGATTCTACTTTTTTTAAAAACCATGCAAGTAAAACTAGGAAGAAAATTATGAGACTGAGGGAGTAACTTGAATTTACCAAGTGCAAGTTTGCAATCCATGCACAAATGTAAATATTCTATCATGCAACAGATCAACAACATACCAAGTAGAATCCCACAAAAAGTATGGTTTGGGGAGTGTGTACGCAGACCAACCCCAACCAGGTAGTAGAGAGGCTGTTTTCAAGAGATTTAAAAAGTATATCATCTTACCACTAATTACTTCACCGTCTGTTGGTAAGCCACATGAGAAGTGAATGTGCAATCTTGTCATGCATTTTAGACCTTGCTCCAAAATTGATTGCAAATTCCTCTTGTAGGTCCCATGCACGCAAACTGCACCTTAGGCAACCAACCATAAGAGAGATGCATTACTACTACTACATACAACACGAGAAAAAGTCCATAACATGTCAAGCATATCTTTACCCGGAACTTCTTCAGCTGAAATGACAGGTTTCAGCAATCGTTCTGTTTCAACAGTCTACGAGAAGATGACAAGAAAGAACTTGATCATATTGCTGAATCTAGCATAAAACACTACTTTGAAGGTGGAATAAAAGTTTCACATTATATACATCAGAAGTGGTGACACTCACTAACACCACCTTCATCATTACATATTCATTGGAAGGAAGTCTAAGTCTAGGGACATCGAATATTGACATTAAAAGGTGGCATTCTGAGGGGATGATCAAATGGTTAAGTTTTCATTTCCCAATGAATATGTAACAAATATGAATGCACCTACTAATGTCTGCGTCTTTGATGTCCCTCCAGAATATTTGTCAAGCAAAAGGATGGGAAAGTATCATGAAAGTAACAATTCTCCAACACATTGCAAGCCCGTATAGGTACTTGACACAATGCAAAATAGCTAGTAGTATGTAGGGTACTTTAAGCTTCTTAAATGTTCTAATTTTGGTAGATGGGATAGATCAAGCACAACGAAGATAAATAGTTTCAAGAGCCATAAACTAATATGCTCCTCTCGTCCCAAACAGGATTTCTATTTGAAGAAGGAACAACTTTTATATTTTGATAAGGTAATACTACTGCAAGTCTTTCATCCTTTGTCCTCCCTGTCTTGTTGGAATTTCCCAACTTTTCTAATTTAGATGTCCCAAAAAACTGTCACTTTCCATTTTAAGACAATACATAAGCTTAAATTTAAAAAAATTCCATCCTCCCGAATTTCAATTTTTCTAATAGTTTACTTTCAAATCAAGGGCATTTGTGTCAATTTAATAAAAAAACAACCAATTTTTTTGTTATTATGTGCAGCAGGCAACACTGGAAAACTCCAGCGGAGCTAAGGGAGTTTACATTAAAAATGTATAAGGTGGTTTGGCTTAAATTATCATATCTATCTTTTGTTCCTTATTCTCTTTCTTAAATAATAGATGAAAAATTAGTCATGATCGAACAAACAATTCTTTTGAAGAAATCTACCTAAATAATACTAAAACACAAAACTTATACCAAAATAAGACCCCTTATGTTTTTATCCCTGAGTTCGGCAATGCGAAATGCAACAATTTGGCATTGTATATTGGCATTTTGCGGCGTTTGTTGCTATTATTTGGCATTATGTCATATTAAAGTATAAAAACATTGAAGGCCCTATTTTGGTATATGAAGCATGTTTTAGTCCCAGTTGGGTGTTTCTCCCATACTTTTATTGGATCATTTGATGTGGGGATTCTGATGGCTTACCACTATTGAGTGCCCTTGGTTTGCACGTATCCAAAGCTCTCCACTTTCTTCCAACAAGCTAAACCTTTGTTTGTTGTCCTTTCTAACTGCCTAAAACATATAACGAGGAAAAAGAAATGAGAATTACTTTGCAAAATTTAAACCATAACCAAGAAGTATCAATTCCACCAACAAGTGACCCAAATGAAAAAATGCAATCTAAAACTTTTCAAGCTAGAACTACAATATTAGTGAAGCAATCAAGCAATGTCCCTAGATAGAAGTAAATTTTCATCAAAATACCAAACTAGGAGTGCAATGTTTTTATCTCCTAAATAGGAGTTTGACAATGTAAATGATGGCAGTATGATGATAATATAGCAGTGTAAATACTAAATAGTGATAATGGATGGTGGCAGTGTGGTGGCCCACCAATCAACGGTGGTCAATGCCGGCGACCGGCGATAGAGTCCGGCAACCAGCAACGAAGCTCTCGTGGCAGTGTGGCATAACAGTGTGCACTATGGGAGTGACAATGTGAACTCTTATTTAAGTCACAAAAAGGGTACTCTGTATTTTCATCATCTTTTACTCCTATTAAGATACTTCTCCTATGTACTTCTCCCAAGCCTGATGAAAAAAATGACCCTAGAATCTAGATAGAAGTAAATTGGCATCAAAATACCAAAATAGGAGTGCATTTTTTATCCCCTAAATAGGAGGTTGGCAGTGTAAACAATGACAGTTTGATAATAATAATATAGCAGTGTAAATAGTGATAGTATGATTGAGTGTGGTCACATTGCGGTGGTGGACCACCGGTTGACGGTGGTCAATGGTAGTGTCAGTTTCAACAAAACCATTGCTCATAAAATATTGAAGTAATGAAGTAAGTTGCACTGAGATGGGGATGAGGACTTATACGGAACGAGGTCGGAAGCGTGAAAACCCCAATTTTTTCCAAAATTTATAAAATAATTGAGGTATGAAGACATCCCTAAGTACCTTAACCAAGGATGTTTTGGGGACGGGAAGCGGAAACTATTTGAAGAATCCGTGCAGCATAGCTAATGGCAGTCTTAGTTGTTGGCAGGCGGCGACGGTGGTGGTTTTGGTACTAGTGTGTGGTCATCAACGACGATAATTGTAGTAACGCATTAACAATGGTGGGTGTGTGTTGGGCGACGACAGTGGTTATCAGTGTGGCAAACAAAGGCTGGAGGCAGTAGATGGTGAGAGCGACAACAGGTGGCTAGTAGTGGTGGTGATGGTGCCATGGTGGTGTGCGGCAACTGCAGTGGTGGTGGCTAGAAATGGCGGTGGTGGGTGGCTGCAACCAATAGTGGTGGTGGTGGTGTGGCCAATGATGGTGAGAGTGAAAGTGGCGGTGGAGGAGGGACAATGGTGGTGGGTGGCCGACTGTGGTGGTGGTTGTTGGCTTACACAAAAGTGGTGGTGGGGTGGTAGCGATGGTGATCCAAGAGTCGATATAGTCATATAGATATCAGAACTGCATGAATTTATATCTTCCCAATATGAAATATATCAAAGCACTCTCATTTGGGACTTGGGAGGGTGGTGATATCGGGAGATATTAAATCATAATCCTATTTAGGCTTCACTAAACAGGCCTTTATATTATTAATAAGCAGAAACCCTCTAATTATAATAATCCTAACTCCCAAGGAATATATAAAACCGTCTATTGTCTGATTTTGTTTGTACAATTATACAATTTTTTGGCTCACAAAATACGTAGAATAACTTTAAAAGTCTGAACAATGTTATGCAATGCTTACATTGAGAAATACTTGTTATACAATGCTTATATAGAGAATTAAGAGAAAAGCTGTAATGGATTTACACATTGATAGGAATTGGAAACCTAACCCTAATGAGAAATATAGTTTCTAAATCTGGAATTGCTATATACTCCTATACTTCAACAATCAACACAAAAGAAAGAAAAAGAATGTTTATCATGCAAAACAAATGAGTGCTTAATGAAGTTATAGTCAACAAAATCATGTGTGTGTGTGTTACACTCCACTAGACAAAACTAAAGGGCATAAAGGACTAAGGGAGAAATGCATTTGCACTAACCTCTTTGATATCATCAAATGTGTGCAACCGCATTGGGATATTGGCAAATGTTTTCATATTCAGTTTTAATAGATCTTGGACCTTGACAAATCCATCACTCCTCATATTAAGTTTTAGCTCGGAAGCCATGTGACGAAGAATACGAGTTCTGAGGCCATTGCACCACAAATAAATAAATATGTTGCATTCATAAGTAGAGCTTTGTGAAGATAATTGTTGCTTAGAGCAGAAAAAATGAGGGATTCAATGGGCTTAATGACTAACTAAGGGGCTGTTTGGCAACTTCTGAATAGGTAAGTGATGAACCAGTAAGAGGTCTGAACCATTAAGTGCTGAACTAGTAAGAGGTCTGAACCATTAAGAGCTAGTATATTGCTTAAGTATTCAGAGGCAATTAGGCAAATGTCTGATCAATTCAGATAAGAGGTCTTAACCATTCAGACTCTGTATAATACTTAACCATTCAAAGGCAAATGTCTGAACCATTCAGACATCTGAACCATTCAGAGGCTGAAACAAAAAGTCTGAATCATTAAGTGTTGAACCATTCAGAAATCTGAACCATTAAGAGGCTGAAACAAACAACCCCTAAGTCCCCAGTCGTGACATTTTTTCTCATTTTTCTATGTGGCTTATTCTAAAATTTACTTCCCTTTTAAGGAAATGTTTAAATAGTCAATATTGTTTCTAAGATTTCCAAATCAACCACAATCACACAATTCCACTTCTTTTAATAATCATTCATGCCAAGTCATTTTAAGAAGAAAAATATGCGATAACAGAATAATAGACCCAATTTCATTTTCATTAAATAATGACCTAGGCCAAACCTTCAAAACAAATTAGCCTTAAGCCTTACAACACACCAACTCCATATGAGGCTTATTTTACTAATGTAAGTTCAATATGAATGATTATTTTCATGTTTCAAAACATAATTTTTTTAATCATTTTTTTCTGAAATTAAATTTTTTATACCTAAATTTTCTAAACATTCTCAATTCAACTGAACTTTTCTGAACTTTTTGGATTTAATCGAATTTTTCTGGATTGAAATCAAGTCACCTTAAGGATTTTTTTAATAAACTTTGTTGAAAGAACAAGATCTGAGAATCACTAGAGGTGAAGAGAACATGGCCTAGCCAACTAACCAAGTTTTGTGAAAGGTAATTGCCTCACTATCATCATTAAAGACAAAACTAGGTGTGAAAAGTTCAAAATTGAATCAATTCCAAACATCATTATGAAATCGCAGATACTATTTCAAAGAAATGCATAAGAAATACAAAGTTACCAAGGATTGATGATTACATACAATAATCGACCAAGAGCTTCAATTTTGTCATTTCCGGAGCCACCACCATGACCTCTCCACCATTCATTGTTATCCTTCATATCAAATCTTCTACCTCCACCACGGCTACTGTAAATCACGTTAAGAAAAAAACAATGATATGCAAATAAACTGCAAGGAGAAATACATGACATTTACTCCCTCCGTCCCATTTGATTTTTTACAGTTACTATTTAAGTGGTCAGACTATTCCCACTTTCTATACATGCTTTCATGTATCATTTAATAAAATAATTTAATCATGTCACCTCTTGTTTTGTAGATATTTTTATGTAGTTTTTACTTTTATAAATTTTATTTTTTTAATTTTATACAAATTATTAAATCAATTGAATGAAAAATAATTCCAACCACACATCGTCGACCATACTGTAAACTATCGAGTGGGATGGAGATAGTACTGTGTAGTAGACTGCAATAGAAACCCATAAATTTAAAAGTTACTACGGGGGTACCTGTGATTTGAAGGTGAAAATGCAGCATTAGAATATGATGCTGATTTTCTGTGTGAATCCATTGAAGTTAATGCACGGAAGCTGGGCAACAGAGGGAATGGTGTAGATGAAGTGGAAGGAAACCGAGGAAGTGCAAAGATGCAACTTCGAAGAATTTGAAATTTACTGTAGTTTAGTAAAGAAGCATGCATAAGGGAGGGCGATGATGCTATGCTAACTCAAATAGTGGTGAGGAGCACATTCACTGCAAAGCAATACAACAGAGCCAGCATTGACTTTAGCAAAATTGTGAGTCAAAGACCTAGGCAAAGGTACAGAATGGGACAATCAAAAAGGCAAAAATAGAACCTAGGCAAAAGATTATCCTAAGATGCATAGAAAACTAAAGAATTGAACGGCAATGATACACAAAAAATAGAAAAAAGATCATCAACACAAAATCAAATTTACTGGAGCAAGATAGACAAAGAAGAGACTGAAAAAATAATAAAAAGTAGACAGTCTTACAGCAGACTTAAACTAAAAACAAAACATAAAAACAAACTAAAAAAGACTGCACATCTGAACAAGCTATAAGTCTATAACACATTCATAACACGCTAAAAGACATACAAAAAGACTCCATCGATAAAATAAAGAAAAAGTTTATATAAAACAGTTTTGCAGTTTATATCCTATGATTGATTTCATTCATACGGTTTGTAGTGCAACTGTTTTAATAGTACTTTGACCTTTCTGCAGCAACGGTGCTAAAATTTGTTAGTTGTGTCATAGTGCCTACAAACTAAACCTTATTTCTTATCTCTTTTTAACATTATACTTATAAAATATATATTTAGGGTAAGTAAGGGTCGATCGTATGAGGAAAGATTTACTTTTATATCAAAATCAGTTTACTTTATGTCATTTTTATTTAATGCAATACTTATTACTAGCAAATGTTACAGAGTAAAATCGACTACTAATAAAATTTATAATAAATAACCTATAGCATAAATAAATAAAACTAATGCTTAACTTACAAATTAATATATAGAACTTATCATATGACTTTTAAAAAAACACGTAGCATTTTTGTTTTTTTTCTTTTTTTGGGTGGTGGGGGTGTTGGAAATGAAGTGTAAAAAGATAAATTACTAGTCTGTAATATATAATAGACCTACAACCCCAACAACTTTAAGAATTAGAAAATCAACCAAATGAATAATCAAGAACAAAACTCCACCTAAAAGCCCAAACATTAAGACAGAACAAACAAACCAGCAAACATTACACTTTAATATAAGACTTGCACAATAGCTAAACGAAAACTCTTTTCAGACTTACATAATAGTTAACTTTTGATAAAAACTAGCAAAATTATAAACAAAACTATGTCCGCAGTTGCGTATTCTGGTGTTGAAGCATTTTTATTTCAAGGCATATTGTTTAAGCCTCAAGGCGCATTGAGGCATAAGCCTCAATTTAAGTTTAAAAATGCCCATATCACATTTTTAAAAATGGAGATTGTTAAGGAACCAACTCAACCACAAGCTCAAGCTTATGGTTGTGGCCCAAGAACAGTAATTTATATTCTAACACGCCCCCTCACGTGCAGGCGTAGTTTTTTTCGAGCCTTGCACGTGAAACCTTAATTTTTTAAAAAAAACTGGGTAGCGCTGAGTTTCGAACCCGTGATCTCTTAGTCAACGAGGCTTCGATACCATGATAGAATTTGGGATGGGTATGGACAACTGGATTGGGTAATAAGACACTTGGGTTGAACCATATTAAAAGATTGAATCCAATCGATTTGTTAGTTTAACTCAAGAGCTTATATACCGGATTATTTTACTCTTAAGCTTCCGATGTGGGATGCACTTTAACACTCCCCCTCAAGTGGACAACCGGGCCATTTTGAATCTAATCGGTTGACCACTTGCAAATGAACTCCCATTCCCTTGATTTTTTTTTAGCGCCAACACCTAAAGGACCACGAGCCGCTGGGTATGGACTTCCAAACGAGCAATCGTGTTAAACGGGCCACAGGCCGTTGAGTACATACTCCATACGGACAACTGGGCTAAAGACAAACGGGCTGCTAGGAATGAACGTCTAGACGGACACCTTGACAAACGAGGTGGGCCAAAACCTGCTCCGATACCATGTCAAGGAACCAACTCAACCACAAGCTCAAGCTTATGGTTGTGGCCCAAGAACAGTAATTTATATTCTAACAGAAATAAAACCTTATTAATAACATAATTAGTCCATAAGCATCAAAAAAGTAAAAGATCTCAAACACAACAAAGTCTAACATTAAGCAATACAAAATTGTGGTCGAATGCGATGAACTAAAATTGATGTGTGCAAAAAAAGAATATCATTTAGGCAAAAAAAGTGATACCCCATATTATCATGCTAGGTCCAACATTTAGGCAATTTCTCATGAAATCTAAAAATAATAATACTATGCAAAAACACAGCATAGAAGAAAAACTACAGCAATTAAAAATCCACAGTAGCAAAATGGGAAAAAAAATAAAAGAAGCAGCATATTATCTCAGATTTTTTAGAGAGGCAATACATTAGATTGAGTTAAGCAATAAAAAAATGCTGAAACTCAATAGTAAAACAAAAAAACCGCACACAAAAACTTTTATCAAAACGCAGCAAAGACAGAAGCGTGGCAGAGGCTCTAAGATTAGCAAGTAGACCACGAAACTGATGGAGATAGATGGCAAGTATTGAAGATGTCTTTCTGAATATAAGGTTATTTCATAAGGTTGGGAAAGATATATACATTTAATTTTGGTTAATTGACTAATTTAACCTTAAACTAAAAAATCTGAAACAAAATTGCTTATGCCTCCATCTTGCCCCAGTGGTCTTTCGCAATCACTATAAACAAATATCATGTATGGCAAGATATGCCTTGATGTGCAATTTTTCAGGAAATGTTTAAAGGCGCATGGCAGGTTTACACCTCACAATTTAGAACATTGACTCAAATGATGGTTTAAGCTGAAGAAGGGTTCCACCAAGGACCTGTGGTCCTTCCCTGTTTTCAGATTCATATTAGCTTATGTTACGTCCAGCCTTAACTCTAACACCTACTACCCACATCAATCTACAGACCAGACCTCAAGTTTAACTAAGATCTTTGAAAAACAACACTTACCAACCTAGCAGTAAACTAGGTGTATTTAACTGAGTCAGTTTAAAAATACTACGAGTACTTGATAAACACCGGATTGTGCCAGCTAAGTACTCACTAGGTGACACTTACGTGTAAAAAAATCACTGCAATTATTGTACTCTTGGATTCTTAAACTGTCAGTTTGAATTAGATTTAAGTGGCCATTCTAAATTAAGCCGAAAAGAAGTAAAAACCAACAAAATCACAGTTTTTGAACATTGTTAGTTTTAATTGACAGCAGCTCGAGAGTAAAGATACTTCCAGTTCAATGAAATGGTTCATAAGAACACCAAACTTTTAAAAAAAATCAAACCTTTAAAACTACTCCCTCCGTTTGGGAATGATGTTCCAACTTTGACTTTTAGTCATTTTTATGAGTGGTCGACTATGGGGAGGAATGGTCCAAAATACCCTTCAATATTGAACACCCCAATTTCCGCTAGCCACCATCCCCGGCATCTCTTACCACAACCCCTGCCAACCCCACCTTCTCTACCAGCACTTGGTCGCCGCCAGCCCCCCACCACAGCCGCCAGCCCGTCCCTCACCGCCATCCCCCACCACCACGGCCAACCCCACCTTCTCCGCCAACACCCACATTGCCATCAGCCTCCACCACAACCGCCAGTCCCTCTATTGCCGCCATCGTCCTCCATCGCAGATCTGGAAGAAAGAGAAGAAATACGAGGAAGGGAAGAAGAAGAAGAATAAGAGGAAAAGGTGGAGGGTGATTCTGTCACAGATCTGTTTAGATCTAGAAGAAAAAGGGAGGAAAAGAAGAAGAAGAAGATGATGATGATGATAATGATGATGATGGTTGTGGTGGTGGTGGTGGTGATGATGAGAAGAAGAAGAAGAAGAGGGGGATTTGTGTGGGTCGGAGAAAGAGCAGGGGAAGGAAGAAGAAGAAGATGGAGGATCGGATCGGTGAAAGAGAGAAGAAAAAGAATGAAAAATGAGGAGAAACAGGGGGGAAAGAGAAAGATAAAACAAAAGGAGTCAACCAAATGAAAGAATGGAAGAAAAAAGAGAAATAAAGAAAGGAGGAAGAGGGTAGTTTTGGAAGAGTCGTAAAAAATAAGTAGAATGGGAAACATCATTTCCGGACGGAAAAAAAGGTACAATTGGAACATCATTTTTTGACGGAGGGAGTATGACATTAAATCTCTGAGAGTCTGCTAGTCTCAAAAGAAGCTTTTATCAAAGATTGAGCTTTTCAGTTGAAACATTAACATTCACACACTTGAAGAACCCCAAAATATACAGAGTAACATAAATATGGATCACACAAACGGAAACAAAACTAGTTTTCTGGGAAGTCTAAATGAAACAGGAAAATCAGGATTTCAAAGCTAAAAATCACAAGTTCAGACCTTCAACCGGAAAATCAACTCGTAGGAATTATACCTTTTTTCATGTTCTTCCTTTGACGAGCATCTCCAACCCATCCTCCATTTTTTATCTACTATTTGTCTCTTTAGCTTCTCTACAGTGTTTTTGCAGTTCATTTTTCTTCACCCACTCCAACCATATCATCTACCTTCACTATCAACCGCCAACAAAACCTCAATTTTTTTAAAAAAGAAAAATCGGCAACAAGAAATCAGATATGGCGGATGGGCAAATGAGCAAGAAATAGCAAGCCCTAGATATTTATAAAAAAAATCAACTAGCTAGAACAAGAAGAAAAGCAGAATTGGAAGCCGTAGCTATGCAAATCAAAAGAAGAAGCAGAAGGATAGCCAATGCAAGGCCGGCATTCAAATATAGAAGACGAAACGGAAGAAATAGCCATTGTCATACCTTTCATTTTTTATGAGCTGCTCCGTTTCTACTATATATATAAAAGCAGAATGAATTCTCTGCCCAGTTTCAGTGCTAAATTTTCCCGCCAAAAGAAGGTAATCCAATGGCTATTACAGTTTTGGGACACTTAGCATTAATCCAATCAATCTCAACCAGGCCTCATTTACAATCACAAAGGGCCAAAATCAAATGTATAACAACCCAGCAACATTTACAATCAGAAATGGACAAAAAATGAAAAGTGTGATTTGCAGTAATTATACTCTGCCCCATCTTTAATTCCTTGAATCTTACACTTTATCAACACGAAATAGACCCAATAGTATATGCAGCAAAGCATATATATTTTTCAGCCTATTTTGTAAAAATATAAATATAAATATATACCACAGTCTCAGGTGGCTTGGAAATGGACAGAAAAACCCAAATTTTATTTCAATTTAACTGGTAATTGGAAATAACTGGTCACTTTCTTCTACTGCATTAGTCATTATAGAATGGCAATTGGAAATAACTGGTCATTTTCTTCAAACTGACCAGCACAAGCCATGTGCTGGTCAGTTTTCTTCTACTGTAATGGTCATTATTTCTAGAAAATGGTCATTTTGAAGCAACTAAAAAAAGGCTCAGGTATAAACTCTTTATATACTCATCAGTGGGAAAAAAGATATGAGAATGTCATGGCTGCTTCCAGGTAGCCAGGTAGCCACGCCAAGATACGTATTATTTCATCAAATTTTAGTATAACCCAATAAGAGAAAAATATACAAAACTTATCATCACAACCTCTTAATTCTTCAATTTATTCCAAATCCAAATGAGAAGACCACCATGGCTGCAAGAATTGAATGAAATTCCCTACGGCCACGCCAAGATACACTATTTAACCAAACACTGAATTACATGAAGAACCATGGAACATGGTCCCTACAGTAAATGACAAGTATCCATTACAAGTGGAAGAAACCAAAGAATGTCAATTCTTGCCCTCCATGTCGCCACATATATAAGATTCAATTCATGGAACTTAAAAAAACAACTCTTCTTCATTCAAAGTGGTGAATTTCACATGTAACCCACTACATTGGAGTGCAAGTATAAATAACCTTCAAATCTTACACACTCCACCAACCCATACAACCATATTTTGTTAGTTTTAATCCCCCCCTTCCCCTGAGATATAAACTTACAAAATATGCCTACACTTAGGACGAAGATGATGGAACAAAAGCCATCTACATTTCGTTCCCATCTTAAATTAAGATTAATTCGTGCATACGATCTTATTTCCTATAGGAAAACTGGAGAAGTTTATGCTCAGAAGTGTTTTTTTCTTCACGATAATTAGGTATTTTTATTTAAAAAGCTATTTTTCAATTTATTAAAAAGCTATTTTTCAATTTATTAAAATAAATTTCAGAGGTGAAGGTTTCATAACTCAAACATCAAACCAAGTTATACACTACTCACTCATTTTCATATCAAAGGCATCCAAACAGTTTTTAGGGATTCCAAAATTCATTTTCAGCCTGAGATGAGGAGTAAGAATCAAATTGAAAGGAATAATCACGCAAAATCAGACGGAAATCCGAGCTTTATAATCTCAAATTTGGAGAGATTCGTGCAACAATTAAATTCAATGGATAAATTCAAATTCAAGCTCCAAATATTCATATTAAACACACAAAAATACTGATTAAACGTTAACGAGGCTAGGATTGAAAAATTGGAGGCATTTACCTATGTACCGCCGTATACCTAAACGCCGGGACGCGTGATGCACATTCTTCGACAGCCCTGGTCCTTCCGATGGTGTGGAGCGTGTTGACCAGACTCGCCAGTAAACGTTGGTTCCTTAATCCCCAAGTTCATTTTTTCAATTTTTTAATACCTAAAATGTAAGTTTGGGTTCAAGTTTATTAACATGGTCTAATTCTCACCTAATCATATCCAAAACTCTTAAGTATGTTTTAACATTTTTATACACAAAAAATATCTTTTTAAGTATAAAAGTATTTTTAGTCTAAAAAACTAAGATTTGTAAAATTCTTTTATAAACAAGTATTTTTTACATAAAAATGTACTTAAAAACAGTTTTTTAAAAGTATAAAAAAATCCAACTTTTTGAGCTCTAAGAGTAATCTTATGTGAGAAGAAGATATTGATGATGTAGGCTTTGTTTGGGGACAGCGTTTTCGATTAGCCTTAGCGTTTTGGATAAAATTTTAATGGTGTAGATTAATTCCGAAAACGCTAACTCTAAAGGCTACCGTCGGATAGCCTTTTCAAAACGCTAACGCTAATGGCTAACGCTGATGCCAAACGGGGCCGTAATTACTATATTCAAAGAAAGTCAAATGTTAGACTTTTTCGAAAAAATTATTTGTGTCCCTCTTTAAAAATGTGAAACAATTTTTTTAGCCGAAATAGTATTTTTGTTTAAGGAATTATATGAAATTTTAAGGTGGCATTAAAATATTAATTGGTAGTGAAGAAAACATTCAAATAAAATTTGATATATTCTCTTAAAAGCATTGCAAGTTATGATAAAATATAATATATTATTGACAGATTTATCTCTATCTCTCGTGGATGAAACCACTTGCATCCATCTTTACAATACAAACAAATGAAATAAAATAAAGAAACTTAAAATAAAATAAAAAACATTCATAACCATGAAGATCTAGGCCTAAAAAAACTTTACATACCAAGACTCGTGAGAGAGTGTTCCATTCAGGAAAGGGGAGCATAAATCCCTAATAATTTTTTTTATTGAAAATATTTTAGATATGTGTTGTTGTCATTCATATCTATTATTATCAAGGTTTTATCTCCTCTATTGAGCTATTATATGAACTCAGATTTCATTTTGAAATATAATCACAAAAAATGAACTAAAAAATAAAGATATCCGACAGTGAACCGTGCAATATATCATAAAATCACAAAGTTTTAAAGAAATCATAAAAATATCGACGATAATCTGATTTCAATCAAATGTAATACGGAGTAATCGTGTAAATTATGTTTTTAAAGGAGGGGTAGAAGAAAGCGAGGGAAGAGACAATGAGAGAGTGAAATGCATCTTAAAGTGTGATCATTAACACTTAAAAATATCGAAGACTTCGAGGTGTACACACTAATGTCACAAAACATATGGGAGTATTAATTTCATCTTTTATTTTACATTTTTATAGATTTAATAAAAACGCTAAATGTATTTTTTTATTCTCCAAGTCCTGTTAAAACCAATTCAAATGCAATTTTTTTAATAAAATGTGATCAATATTTTTATTCTTAAAAAATACGGAGTACTAGAAATTAGGCCAGAGTATTTGGTATATATAAAACAAACTCGATTAGATCTTTAGTTTGCGTTTTACACAAAGTAGTTGAACTCGATTAGATCTTCATAAATTCCAAATCTCAAATTAACACTAAAAGTTGGTACTTTGATAACACTTTTGCGTAACATTGATTATGCTTACGGTTTATGCAACGGACCATGGTTAATTGTTACAAGACTTGGCAACCGCCTCTTGGAAACAAAGATGATTCATGGAAAAAATACCGGACGAATTGTTTTGATCCTGCGAGTTTCATTAGCTCTTTCAGATACGAGATTACCATTTAAGTTTCAAAGAATGCATTTTCCGGTTATGGTATCATATGCAATGACTATAAACGAAAACTAGGGACTATCTCTCTCTTTCTCATGTTTGCATGTTCTTAAAAAAACCTATTTTCAGCTACGGGTAGCTATATGTAGAAATGTTAGGGTATGCTCCCAAGTGGATTTATAAATACTAATATGTAATTCTAAAAATATTTCAACTAGCACTACAACGAATGTAGTTTATAAATGGCTTCTGAGAATGTTTGATTGATCTTAATTTGCACATTTTATGTCCTTCATCCTCATATTATTTATTGAATGTAGTATGCTCTAAAGCACACTTTTTTATGTTTTGCATGTCTATTTAAATTTAAATGAAAAATAATAATTACGAGTATAACAGTTCTTTTGGTACGCGGAATTGACGGAATTGAATTGAGAGTTGAAATTCTATGGAATTAAATTCTTCAATTCCAATGTATTATTGGCACTATCAATTTCAAATTCACATGTTTTTGTGTTAACAAATACCAGAATTAGAATTATTACCCCTAATTTCAATTTTATAATTTGAATATTATGTACCAAATATATCCTAAATGAAAGTGCGTACATATTTACTATTTATAAACTAATATCCAATAATTTAAAATATTTTACATGCCTTTTACAAATAAGATTACGATGTAACATGGGTGGTGCACTAGTTTTAATCTAAAAACAGAAACAAAATACAATCTCCTTCATTCTTTCCATCTCTTTTCAACTTATTTCCATATTCAAATCCTCAATTTTCAATACAATCATGGTGGAGGTACCCATGAAATGTACCTAAAGTATAAATCAAAGCTATACATTAACATTTTGATGATTTACACTGAGACAATATGCTAGTGCAGTTAAAAAAATTACACTATCATCTTGTATCTATGTGAACTATCATCCTAACATCACAATGTCACAAAATAAAAATACATATCTACGATATACAATTTGGGATACAAGCTTTGGAGCACAAGTAGTTTAATTTTTATCAATATTGCGAGTACATCATTTTCTTCTACATTTTTTCTCATCCATTTTTATTGTTCTTCTATTTTTTCTCTTTATATTTTTTTACATTTGGGCCCTTATGTTTTTTTAACAAAATATTTATTTTATCTATATTATTTTTATTTCAGGACAAAAAAAATCATACTCCATATTTTTTATTTCAAAATATCTTTTTGAATTTTTGATCCAAAAAACATTGATCTTTCAAATCTCTAATTTCAATTATTTATTTTAAAACATTTCATTAGTTCAAAACTTTAAATTTCATTTTTTATTTTAGTTTTTTTCTTTGACATTTTACTTAAAATTTGAACGTTTAGTTGTTTGGTTCAATAAGAAAACAACTCACTATTTGATTCCATTTTTTACTATGTATAATGTCAATGTTTCATTCAAATATTTTTTTTGTTTTCTTTACTATTTTTTTGGTATATTAAACAAACAAAATATGAAAATGGGTATCGCATAACCCAAGCAACTTTAACAAAATGAAAAGGTGAAAATGATTTGGCAATCATCATAGTTTGCCATCCTTGACAAATTACAACATAAATCAAAATTAATTTTGTATAATCTTCTTCAAGAAATATATAAGAAAAAATACTTAGATTACATAATTTATCTTGATTAGAAAAAAGATCATATCAGGCCACATTTTGATTTGAATATAAAATTAAACTAATAAAACTACTCTACACTCCCTCCAAACTTTTACCAATTATGTTCCACCAACTCATGTTGAAGTTGGGCGTGTATTTGCGTGTTGTGAAGACTAGCATTAGTTTCAAGGATTTGTGCAAATTATGGAAGGGGTTCAAATTATCTTTAGTTGTGGATGAGGTTGGTTCGCCATCAATATCATATACTCAATATCTTCATCATATTCTCCATGCTCATCATCACTAACAATCATGTTATGTAACATGATGCACACATACATGATGTCGTCAAGGGATTTCATATCCCACATTCGCGCCGGGCCACGCACTGTGACAAACAAACTTGCAAAACTCCAAATGCTCTTTCAACGCCTTTTTTTGGACTTTTTGGTTTTGTGCAAATGACCACACCTTTTTTCCCATCGATTATGAGATAGACTTAACAAAAGTATGCCAATTAGGATAAATATCATCCACGAGATAATATCTTAAAATATATTCCCTACCATTAACATCAAAGCTAGCAACGGGCAATATACTATTGGGAATTAAACACACAACACACACAAATAATCTGCGAGAAACAAGAGAAACGGAACACAAACGACACACAAGAATTTAACGTGGTTCGGTTTCCCTAATCCACGGCTGCAACAGAAGGATTTTCTTATTTCACTTGTGGTACAGATTACAAGTACAAGCCCTCTATATATAGGGGAAAAAACTAGTGCTATGCACAACTGGGCCGGGCCGACAAACAAGCCTCCACAAAGCCCAACATATACCTCGTAAATTACGAGAGAGAGAAAAAGAGAGAGAGAGAGAGTGTGTGTGTGTGTGTATAGTCGACTCGCCAAAGTCACTTCTTCTAAACATTCATGACCGTGCAATTGGGCATTTTTTTCATTCTCAACCGTGTAATCTATAATTCTCAACATGCCTGAAAAACCACGTGCTTCTCCCATTTGAATGACTATTTTGATCCTATTTTTTTTCGTATGTTTATAGAATATCTCTAACTTTCTATGTATTTTTAAAATTATTAATTAGATACATCTAGATTTTAAAAAATTCATAATAATTTTTCAAAATCCAATTAAACTTACTTAGGTGGGTGGATTCAGGGGAGAGCATAGTGNGGGCTATGCAGAGTTCGGTAGATTGTGATATATTTTATTTGCAGGTTGTTAAAAGTTTTTGTCGGATCGATTATTTTAACTTAATGAAATCTTGAATCTCAGAGTCGTGACGGAACTCTCCTCTCATATAATCCAAATCTATAAATATTCCTTTGTCTCTTCACCTTAAGTCCTCACCATAACTTTCATCCTCGTGTTTTCGATTATTAGACAAGTAGCGTCGAGATCTTCCTGCATATCCCCGTGACCACTTCACCGAGATCTGGATTTGACTACGACACACACGCCTCAAGTGCAGCTGTTAAAGTAGTGAGCTAAGTTTTCCATACAAATCAAGGCCTCGCAAATGGACGAGATCAGTTTTCCATACAAAATCAAGGCCTCACCGGGAACCCCTTTTAGGAGTACGCAATGATCATCAAGTTCTATTTAGAAAATTAAAGTCTGTTAAAATCTTTGAGCGTGGCAACAGTTTTCAAAGAAATCTGTCATTCAGAAACATTATCCCAAAATCCATCCAAATCTATGTTAATCAAAATCTTTCCAAAATCTATGAATTGTTTAATAACATTATATTTTGATTGATAGACATTTTAAAAACCAAATTGAATGTCATAGAATTTTAAACGAACCTTTAAATCTCTAAATAAGACTGTAAGTTTTTTTCTCTGTCTAGAACCTATTTATTAAATAATTAACATTAACGTACCAAAATATCCTTTTAGGTTGTTTTGCTTCTGTACGGTTAAACCATAAATCATTACTCTATCGATTCTCCGACAGCATTGCCGCTACTACTATCCCAATTACCGTGTTACTATATGCTGCCGCTGTTGTACCTATCATCTTCAACAATGTCGTTTTCCAGATGGACATTAACCATTGAGTTAAAGTATTTTTATTCATAAAAATAAACAATAATGTCCATATTACCTCAATTGCTCATTTGCTCTATATTGTCTATTTTTCTGAAATCTTAGGGGTGTATTCAATTTAGATTTTAAATAATTTTGATAGATTATTTAGAATCCATAGATTCTGTAAGTTCATTGGATTGTTTTATGTTTACGCAGAGTTAACTAGATTCTAATGTATTCTATCGAAAGATTTTATAGGATTATATTTTTCTTTTCTTTTTTCTTTTTTTCTTTTTTTCTTTTTTCTTTTTTTCTTCTTTTCTTTTTTCTTTTTCTTTTTCTTTTTCTTTTCTTTTTTCTCCTCTTCCCCCATGAACCCTAGCCGCGCTGCTTCTTCCATCCACTTTCGTTCTTTTTATTTTTTCTTTCCTTTTTTCTTTTTCTTTTCTTTTTTTCCTTCTTCCTCCCCAGAAACCCTAGCCCCTTTCAGCTCTCTTCTTCGATCTTCGTCCCTTCCTCTGCCTAATTTGAGGGTCGCCGTCATCATGGCGCCACATCGAGATGGTGAAGGAGAAGATTGTGGATGATTGGGTCGAGATGGCACCACGTCGAGGCGATAAAGGATACACCGGGGAAGATTGCGGCTGGATGGTGAAGGAAACAATCCTGCGTAGATTTGCAAAATCTTTGCATTTTTGTGAGATTTTGGACTTAGATTTTAATTTATACTCAAAGCCCCAAATCCATCATAATCCATAGATTATAAAAATATTTTAAAATCAATTGATTTTTGAATACCATTATATTTAGAAGGATATATTAAAGTCTGAATTGAATATTTCTAGATTTTAAATGACTTTTTTAAATCAGGATTGAATATCCATAGACTTTTGAAATCCAAAAAAATACTACAAAATCCTGATTGAATACACCCCCTTAATGTCTTTGCTTACATATAATGTTATCTTTTGTATAGACATTATTCACTATGTCACAATGTCCATAACATTTAAACGCCTATGTGGTAAAACTGAAAAAAGACAATAATGACGAAAGAGAGTGAGATCATATTTCATGTCTTTTTATCAATAAAAAAAGAATGATACTCATTGTATTTAATGTTCATAGTCAACATCTAACAATTAATTTTTAAAAAAAATTGTAAATACTTACCTAGAGAAACTCAACGATAAAAAAAGTTAGAAAACTAGATCGAAGAAAGAAAAGTAGATCAGATAATGAAATGGAAAAAACATGTCATGTATGTGTAGAGGTGGTGGTCGGCAACACACAAGCCGGTTGTGGTGGCAATGACGAGTGGCGGAACGCATGGCGCTATATGTCTGTGTGTGGTAGGGGAGGGGGCCATGCAAGAGAAAAAGAAGAAGAAAGAAGAAGAGATGTGGCATGGCGGCACTTGGAATTGGGAAGATGGAAGAGGGGTGTTTGATTAGGTTTATGTTTAATATTATTAAGAGTAAATTTTATAAAAAGTCCCTAACTACAGGTGATTTTCTATATTTTGTTCCTAATTCTTAGATATTTCATAAATGGTATTTAATCTTTGAAAACTATTCCATAGTCGGTCCTTCACATACTATTTTTGGAAAACGTATTTTCTCATAATTGGCCTAAATAACTATTTATGAAATATGAAATAGTTTTCTAAAATTGAGAACCATTTATGAAATATGAGAGAATTAGTGACTATCTATGGAAAATCATTCGTAATTGAGGCTATATAAAAAATTTAATCCACTGTGCAATATGTATAAGTGTATTTTCATAAAAGAATATTATTATTTAATAATTAATTTATTAAATAAGTCCTATATGTAATTAAGACTAGGAAGTCATATTTAAGAAAATGAGTTGTGTTTTGGCCTTGTTCACAACAAATTTTACAATTGAATACACCTCTTTAGATCTGTATAAAATTTTAAAACTTTGAGTTTTATACTTTTGAATTCAACATGTTATTAAAATCAATAGTAAAGCCTTAGCATTTCCGTTTTTTTACAATTTACGGTCTGTTCTGTCCAATTTATTATTTAGCCTATTACGTATCCTTGTTAATATTAGACCAGATCTAATGAGATCAAATCATAATAGATCCTATCAGATCAAGCTAGATCTAGTCGTATAAGATTATGTCAGTTTAGATTTAATTAGATTATGTTAGAATAAGTGACCAACGCTAGAGGGGGGTGAATAACGTTTGATCGTAGAAGTCGCAGGAATAAAAAATTAAGAACGTGAAAAATAAAGAGCTAGAAAAAGTAAAGGGAGCACACCAAGATTTATACTGGTTCACCACAATGTGTGGCTAATCCAGTCTCCCGAGAGACTCTCTCGAGCTACACTACTTCCGTTAAGCTTACGGGTGTTTAACAAACCGTTATAACCTGAGAACTCGAGTCCCACGAGCCTCAACAACACTTTGCTCGGAGATACCGCACTCCAAGACTTCAACCCTGAAGGAAAATACCTTTCCTTCGTACAACTAAGGGAAACAAGCTTCCCTTAACGTGTATAAAACACTAAGGACACTCAAGACCAATACTCTCTTTTAGAGTGGAAAATGAGTAACTAAAAAAATGTTCAAGAACACAACACGAACTTCACAAAAATGGCTCTCGAAAAGCTATGAAGAATGTATGAATGTAATGCAATGAATAACAGGAGTTGTGAAGTAATGTGATATGTAGAGCAAACCCAAACACCCTATTTTATAGTAGAAAAATAGGCTCCAACGAGTAGGAGTTGAATGAGGGTGATTGGCACAATTTGTTGGATTTGATTAAAATTAGATCTGCTGAGAATCAGCTTGACAGCGCTATCCATACCTTGGAAATCGCTGTTGTAGGCTTAGTTTTTGAAAATCAGGAAGCAACGGTCAAGCCAACAGCGATGTCCAAATAGCCTACATCGCTGTTTTGGCTGTTGACTTCCAAACAGGGAAAGTTTTAGCCATAAATTCCTTCCAACTGTCAGGTGCCTACATCGATGTTCATTACTTGTGAAAGGTAACCATGCAAGGATAGGCAGCGGAATATAAAAATTTTAACATCCTAACATGATTATCTTGCCCAGAATCACGTACTAAAACATATAGTGAGTAAGAAATTTATACCTTTCTCCGTAAGCTGTAAAAACGAAGAAGTCGTAGGAAGAGCGTTGAAAGTGCAAGCTTAACCGTTCAAGCGTCCGGTCTCCAACTTTGACACACGAACAATGCCGGAGTCTAACACAATCTTTATGCTAGTAAAGATTATAATAGTATAAAATATAAAGATTAAAATTGGGATAATAATAATCTTGTATATTTCTATAGAAAATATTTCTAATAATATTTAGAAAATATTATAGATATTTTCTATACACAAAATGATATTAATGGAACCAAACTAATATATTTCTCTCTCTTAAATGGTATGGCCGAATAAAAATACCAATGCTTAGCTAATGGTGTGTATGGTTTTAAATAAAACATGATTAGTAATTGATTTTTGTCATTAGCTAAATGACAAATCAATTAGCCCACTCAAAAATCAATCAAAGGAAATAATGATCCTCTTCAATCCCATATGGCCGAACAAAAGATTTGTGATTGTGAGAAGGATTTTCAAAATTCTTCTTCACTTAAATGTTCAAAGTGTATTTTATTTAACACCAAAAATTAATATAAAATTAATTTTAAATCAAATAAAAATACCAATATCATTTTTTAAACAAGTATACAAATATACTTTAAATAGTTTATGTCAAAATAATTATTTTCATAATTAAAATGACAAATCAAAATAAAATATTCAACATATAATATATATATATATATATATATATATATATATATATATATATATATATATATATATATATATTAATCGGCACATATATATAATATATATAACCAAATATTTATATATATATTATTATATTCCAAAATATTTTATTTTACTATTTTACAAATATACAAATTACTTATTATCCCATTGTTTAATCCTACTTCTTAAATTGTTCAAAGTGTGTGACCCGTATAGGCACTTATAAAGCTGGCCACAGTATTGGCTCTGCACCAATACTATAAGTAATAAGTGGTATCTAGCAACACATTATTGCCCCCAGATTATAAGTTAAGACGTTTGCACCGTCAAAACCTTTCCACGACTCAGACTCCGTGTAACTGTATCCCTTTGTCTCAATGTCTAAACTTAATGCAAGGGATTAAAAAAAATCCAGCTTGTATCCATTAAGTCATTCACTGATTTATCAAGTATGACTAATAGGAACAGACATCATAAAAGCATCTCAGCATGGCCATGCAATTTTCTTAGTCATAACTTATCAGTGGGCCCCATAAGACATTAATCTCTTTAAAAAGAGTAGTGACAAATCCTATGTACGTAATCTACGTTTCTGAATACGCGCTGCGGCATACCCAAAACAAAGCCTGTATACCATCCTTATTTCATATGGCTTAGGACAATGCATCAAAGTATGCGGGTTCACATATGCAGAAAACGTAATACTTCAAGTCGAAGGATAGTTACACCCGTGGTCGCGCTAAAGATGCTTAGAGCATGAACTAAAAATTCAAGCAACATCTTTAGAATGGGTCAGTCCGGCATCCTATTATCTCTAGATAATATCTGCCCATGTGCGGATGCGAACACACCGTCATTGACCCTGAGACTAAGTCAAACATCCAACACACACTAGTCTCACATGCATTAACGATATCCCACTCTCGTTAATACTCGACTATGGACATTTAGATAAATATTTATTTCAAGATGTTAGTCTCATCAGCAGAATAACACTATCTGATAAATATCTTTTAAATATAAATCTAGGAATATAATATTTGTTTACATTATCATGAGATGTGTAAACATATTATATCTGCCTATACGTGATAGGATAACGATTAACAGTTGGCCATCTGGGCACAACTCCAACAACTTGAACATTGATGTTCAGGCCTGACTTTGAAGGGGTGAAGGATGGCTTGACATCGCTGTTGCTGTGTTAACAACGCTGTCCAAAAACTTTTTGCCAAAGGCATTTTCTTTTGGCTTAGGTTGAACATCGATGTAGAGAAGTCTACATTGCTGTTCTAGATGTTTCTAGAATCCCAATCTTGGCTCAACAGCGATGTCCATTGACTAACATCGCTGTTGGAAGACTTAACATCAAACCATGGTTTTCAGCTGCCAATGCCAGACAACACTATTGGTCACCCTAACATCGCTGTTGAGCTGGTTTTGCCAGACCCATGGCTGGTTTAGTCATGCTGTTAGCCGATGTCAAAAATCTAAGTTCTCCAAAATAAAAACCAAGTGTTGAAACCATTTGTTTAATGCATTTTTCTAAGAAATCAAGTGAAACATCTTAAAAAGCACGTCATTTAGATAAAAACTACGGCTAGCCAAGTTTATGCCGTTTCACATGGTTTTTACTAAACGACCAAAAACGAAATGTGGTTTTTGAAGAGTTTTTGTTGGAGAACTATTTAAATATACCCAAAAGTAAAAACCAATCATAAATGGTTGAAAAGCACTTGGTTGGTTCGAACGCCAAAAACCAACGCCGATAACCGAATGGCGAACGCCGATTTCCGAAAGCCAAATGCCGGATGGCTTGGTTTTTGGTTTGGGCGAACACCAAGTGTTTTAGGCTTGTTTAAAACTTATGAAAACATTTTTGAATATGAAAAAAAAGATATTTTAAGCCTAAAGAGCCAAGTTTAGAAGTTTGTGCCGGTCTTGATCACATTAAGACCGACTCAACTAATTTCTAAGTCTTCGTTCTTGGTTCTTGGTTCTCATTTTCAATTCATCTTCACATCATGTTTCCTCGCCTTTGATTTGCTCTTGTTTTCGCGGCGGTTTGGAATTATCAAAACCTGTCATAAAACGAACAAGGTTTAGTACGACGTAGGCGTAAACCCGTGTTCCAACAAATTAAATCAGATTATATTTAATCAAATCATATCAATCCAATAAGAAAATCTGAAACTAGTCAAACTAATCAAAAGTTTAAAAAAACTATAGATGACATGACTATATTATTTTATCAAATAATTAATAAAAATAAAAATTAGAATTTAAAAATTTTAGAATATTTACCTGCCCGTGCAATACACTGTTAATAGGGTTAGTAGTAGTAGTTATACATATACTCCGTATTTAATCAAATCATATCAATCCAATAAGAAAATCTGAAACTAGTCAAACTAATCAAAAGTTTAAAAAAACTATAGATGACATGACTATATTATTTTATCAAATAATTAATAAAAATAAAAATTAGAATTTCAAAATTTTAGAATATTTAGCTGCCCGTGAAATACACTGTTAATAGTTATACATATACTCCGTATTTAGTGTCCAGTTCGACCGAAAAGAATGATTCATTCTTTGTTAACCGCGGATAAAACGAGTCGCTGTAAAATGCGATTAGGGTTCTAATCCAACTCCAGGGTTGCAGATGAACGAGGCGGCAGAGATCTTGATGTTTCTGTAAGGGTGGTTTGCTCATCTCTGTTTTCCAATAAACAAACAGCCCTCCATGCATTTATAGAAAATGCGATTCTATGTACTCCGTATATTTTTGATCTTCTCCTTCTCCTTCTCATATACTGCCTGTCTACGCGAAGCTTCGCGGCTTAATGAATTTTTTTCCTGATATATTAGGGTTCCCAGCTTGCGGCTTCATGAAATTTGATCAGTATCTTGGCAGGGCAAATCCAGACATAACTGAGATTTGCAGCCATGGCTGTATCTTTGTTCTTTTACGACTTGCCAGTTCAAAAGTAAGTAAGGATCACACTCAGTTGAAGAGAACAATTTCTTGATGGTGGAGTGTTTGATACATATTTGATGTCTGAACCTCCATCATCTTGTATTCGTGTTCCTTCCGTTCCTCAAACCAAACATAGTGTTATGAGTTGGAGTTCTTGTCAGAGAAGAGATGTCGACTGAATGAGGCTTGCAGAGAGACGAGGGTTTCTTGAAGGGCGGTTGACCCTCACTCCTATGCCATTGATTTCATCCATAAATTTCAACAGCTCTTGTGTGGAACTGAGGAAGAATAACGTTGTTATATTTTTTTTACAACCATTTTCTTTAGTATACCGTGCCAAAGTAATACTGAGTAAGTAGTAAGAATAAGTTGAAGAGAACATGGCCTTAGTATAATATGATGTGCCAATGTCAACCGTGGATAAAATGAGTTGCTGTAAAATGCGATTAGGGTTCTAATCCAACTCCAGGTGCGTTGAGACTTTCGGGATTGCAGATGAACGAGGCGGCAGAGATCTTGAGGATTCTGTAAGGGTGGTTTGCTCATCTCTGTTTGCCAATGATTTGCCAAAAAATAAACAGCCCTCTATGCATTTATAGAAAATGCAACTTTATCTGCATGTACTCCGTATATTTTTAATCATATTCTTCTCCTCATATGGTGAAGCTTTGCGTCATGATGAATTATTATTTTTTTATATTAGTTTTCCCAGCTTGCGGCTTCATGAAATTTGATCAGTATCTTGGCAGGGCAAATCCAGACAAAACTGAGATTTGCAGCCATGGCTGTATCTTTGTTCTTTTACAACTTTTCCCTTAGGCTCCGTTTGGTACACGGAATTCAAACTATGGAATTGGAATTGAAGACTTCAATTCCAATTCTGGTGTTTGGTAGCACAAAAATTATGTGGATTTGAAATTGATAGTGCAAAAAATGAATGAGATTTGGTGAATTCAATTCTATGGAATTGAATCTCGTGGAATTACAATTCCAATTCAATTCCAATTCCATCAATTCCGTATACCAGACGGACCCTTATAATATAAGGACCAGACAGTTGAAGGTAACAATTTCTTGATGGTAGAGTGTATCATGCATATTTTATGTATGAGCCTCTATCACCGTATCCCTTCCCTTTCTTTCCTCAAACCAAAAACACTGTTATGATCTATTTGAAGTTCTTGTTAGAGAAGAGATGTAGAATGAATCAGGCTTGCAAAGAGTCTTGAGGTTTCTCGAAGGGAGGTTGAACCTCACTGCTATGCCCTTGATTTCATCTCTAAATTTCAACAGCCCTTCTTGTGGAACTGAGTAGGAACTATAACGCCGTTAGTGCTGTTATATTTTCCACAACATATGATAATACTCAGTAATAATTGTACTCTCTCCGTCCCATAAAACCCTTTAGGGTTTGATTATAATTGTCATGACTGATCAATGGTGAGTATTTTCATCTCTCAACTCTTATTGTTTGGTAGACCCAGGACCCAGATTTTTGAGGCTATGATGATAATTGTTCACTTCATCTCTAACCCAAATATTGGGCATGGTTTAATCTGACCTGTAACTTGGCAGGGCATGCATGCCAGTGGATGTCATTGCAGCCATGGCAGTGTTAGAACAACCTTTGCCCTGTACTCAAATCTGAGCCTCCATACTGTTGTTCACTCCTTTTATAATGCTGGGTATCGAACTCCCATCTATTCGGGGCTTGTTATTTTTGTTTCGTTGTCATGTTCTTCAGTTGGATTGTTACCCATAAAGAACAAGGCCTTTGGAAAAATATGGATTCATGAAATGGCCATTGTGTTTGATATTTCCCTGCAAGCTTGTACTCCCTTTGTCCCAATTTCAGTTGCATGCAAACTTTAACTACGTTCTTTACCCATTTTTGCTACCTATTGGAGAAAATAATAGTCTTGTCACCTCTTGTTTTGTAGAACTTTTGATGCAGTTTTTAAATATAATTTTTTTAAAAAAATTCCATTCCAATTTTCAAATAAATAGAATTGATTAGTATATTAAATTTTTTAACAATTTTTTTGAAGTCATTGTGTTGTCAAGGAAGTGCTTGATTAAATGACTCACTCTAATTACATTTTATGAAGTTCTTATATTTCTTATAAAGTTCTAATATTGCATATAAGAGATTATTTATTTTGATCTTTATTTTTAGGTTATTATATTTCACATTTTGGAACAAACCACTTGCCCTTACACACGGATGCAAATCTAGTTATGGATAGAATGTCATGCTGAAATTGATATTCAATGACGGAAAACGAGTTGCTATAAAAATTGGGTTGGGTTTAATGCAGGTTCCTTTAGTTTTTCAGGATTAAAAATGAAAGAGGCTGCAAAGATCATGAGGAGTTTGTAAGGGCGGTTGCTTTTCTCTGTTTGCCAATGATTTGCCCAAAAATAAACCATCCTTTATTATCTGGCAGGACCCGGATTGCAGCCATATGGGTCGGCTATTCCGTGACACATGTTTTATCTTCATATTTGAGATTCATATTTATGACCTAATTGGCTCTGTATCAACTTGTAAGTTATGGTTTTTTCTCACTCCCACAATTTGTTGGCTGCAGGGGGATTTAGGAGTTACGGATGGCAGTTGTCCCACTCTGCTTGCTAATTACTTCACAATTTGCTTTATAATTAATATCCAATTTCACAACAGGCAAATATCATTTTGAATTTGTGGAAAATACATTATAATAATTTGATAAATCTTTACTACATATATTCAATTAAACGTTACTAGCATATAGTTTGTATGATACTCCGGCGTTTTTCACGTGTCAAAGTTAGAGGATGGACGCGTGAACGGCCACATTTGCTCCTTCAATACCACTCTACAACAACCGTCCCTTGGGTGGTAGGTATGCTTAGAGATAAATTTTGGGTATTTCAGTTGCAATGCCATGTTTTATGTGTTATTCTTGCAGGAGAAGAGATGAAGAATGAATGAGGCTAGTAGAAAGACTAGGGTCCGTCTAGGGTTTCTTGATGGGTGGTTGACCCTCTCTGCTATGCCAGTGATTTCTTCTCCAAATATCAACAGCCCATATGTGGAACTGATGAGGATCTTTAATGGTTATTTTTTCCATTAATATTGTTCTCCTTTCCACTACATATGAAAATACTCAGTAATAATTATAATACGGGGAATTTACTTAAATAGCACTAAAACATATGACTTTACCTAAATAGCATCACGTGTTTTTTTCCCAAAGTAGCACTTTTAGTCATTATCCATTAGTCATTATTCAAGTATTATGGACATTATTAAGTGCTATTTAGGGAATAAAACAATTTAATTGCTATTTAGGGAAATGACTTAAGTTTTAGTTCTATTTAGTGCAAATATTTCTAATAATAATCATTATCTTCACAACGATGAATGCTGATGGTCCCTAACATTTGTTTGCTCTCCGCTCTCACTATATTCATACCTGTGTTTTCAGGATTCCGAGGCTATGATGATAATTGTTCACTTTCTCTTCATTGGGCTTGTGTTATTTCAACCTGTAACTTGGCAAGGCAGACATGCCAATGGGCGTCTTTGCAGCCATGGCAGTGTTTGAATATCACTTCCCCAGGACTCAAATCTGAGCCTCCATGGTGTCCCAGAATCGTTATATACTATTGGACGTTCAACTCCGTCCTCTTTGATTATAATTTTCGGTCTGTTGTCTTGTTTCTTCAAGATGTATGCAACCTTAGACTTCTTTAAATAGAGAGGTTGTTTTGGTGACACCCTTGATGCATTGCTACATCCGCTTTCTAAAACTTTATTAAAAGTAAGAAGCAACTGAACTTTAATGTGTCCTTAACGTGGCAGGGCATACATTCCAGTGAATGTAGTTGCAGCCATGGCAGTGTTAGGACAACCACCTTTGGCTAGTACAAAAATCTGAGCCTCAGTACTGTTGCAAACACCTTTTATACACACACACACACTCACTCACACATACTAATATTGAAATAAACTAAATTTTTGAAAAAATCAACCTTTAGACATCAGAAATCGTGACATGAGAAAGAGAAAGTGGGGCTGGAGTAGCAAAAGTAGGGAATAAATCTATTATTCGGTGGGTGACTCGCTTGAGATCACCTTTTTAAAAAATCACTTTCTTTATACTCTCTGTTTCAAAAATTCTACATTTCAAGTAGAAACATAGAGTATCTATTTTCTTTTATCAAATAACTACTCCGTCCCAAATTATGTTATCTTTTCACCATTCACACGATCAAATTTCATTAATCTTTTTATTTCTTATTTTTGTTACTTATTTGATAAAATAATATAGTCATGACACTTCTTGTTTTGTAGAACTTTTGATGTTATTTTAATATATAAATTTTACCTTTCAATTCTATACCATTTCTCAAATAAATTATATTGAAAATAATTTCAGTTAAATATCATAAATCGGAACATGTTATTTAGATTGGGACAGAAAGAGTTATAAAAATACATGTGCAAATCAAATAATCGGGGACCTGTAATAGTACATATATTTAGTTGTAGTATAAATTTAGTAAAATTGGTTTTATTTTAAAATATAGTTTTGAAGTATCAAATTTTTTTGTAATATTTAATTATTTAAAATTATATTTAATTCATGGTCAAAGAGGGCCAGTTTGACCAAAAAAAGTCAAACAATGTCATTCTTTGTTAACTGCGGATAAAACGAGTCGCTGTAAAATGCGATTAGGGTTCTAATCCTACTCCAGGGTTGCAGATGAACGAGGCGGCAGAGATCTTGATGTTTCTGTAAGGGTGGTTTGCTCATCTCTGTTTGCCAATAAACAAACAGCCCTCCATGCATTTATAGAAAATGCAATTCTATGTACTCCGTATATTTTTGATCTTCTTCTTCTCCTTCTCATATACTGCCTGTCTACGCGAAGCTTCGCGGCTTAATGAATTTTTTTCTGATATATTAGGGTTCCCAGCTTGTGGCTTCATGAAATTTGATCAGTATCTTGGCAGGGCAAATCCAGACAAAACTGAGATTTGCAGCCATGGCTGTATCTTTGTTCTTTTACGACTTGCCAGTTCAAAAGTAAGTAAGGATCACACTCAGTTGAAGAGAACAATTTCTTGATGGTGGAGTGTTTGATACATATTTGATGTCTGAACCTCCATCATCGTGTATTCGTGTTCCTTCCGTTCCTCAAACCAAACATAGTGTTATGAGTTGGAGTTCTTGTCAGAGAAGAGATGTAGACTGAATGAGGCTTGCAGAGAGACGAGGGTTTCTTGAAGGGCGGTTGACCCTCACTCCTATGCCATTGATTTCATCCATAAATTTCAACAGCCCTTGTGTGGAACTGAGGAAGGATAAGGTTGTTATATTTTTTTTACAACCATTTTCCTTAGTATTCCGTGGCCGTGCCAAAGTAATACTGAGTAAGTAGTAAGAATAAGTTGAAGAGAACATGGCCTTAGTATAATATGATGTGCCAATGTCAACCGCGGGTAAAATGAGTTGCTGTAAAATGCGATTAGGGTTCTAATCCAACTCCAGGTGTGTAAGGGTGGTTTGCTCATCTCTGTTTGCCAATGATTTGCCAAAAAACAAACAGCCCTCTATGCATTTATAGAAAATGCAACATTATCTACATGTACTCCGTATATTTGTAGTCATATTCTTCTCCTTCTCATATACTGCCTGTCTACGCGAAGCTTTGCGTGATTGCATCTTGATGAATTATTAATTTATTTATTTTAGTTTTCCCAACTTGCGGCTTCATGAAATTTGATCAGTATCTTGGCAGGGCAAATCCAGACAAAACTGAGATTTGCAGCCATGGCTGTATCTTTGTTCTTTTACGACTTTTCCCTTATAATATAAGGACCAGACTCAGTTGAAGGTAACAATTTCTTGATGGTAGAGTGTATCATGCATTTTTAATGTATGAGCCTCTATCACCGTATCCCTTCCCTTTCTTTCCTCAAACCAAAAATACTGTTATGATCTATTTGAAGTTCTTGTTAGAGAAGAGATGTAGAATGAACGAGGCTTGCAAAGAGTCTTGGGTTTCTCGATGGGCGGTTGACCCTCACTGCTATGCCGTTGATTTCATCTCTAAATTTCAACAGCCCTTCTTGTGGAACTGAGTAGGAACTATAACGCCGTTAGTGCTGTTATATTTTCCACAACATATGATTATAATTGTCATGACTGATGAATGGTGAGTATTTTCATCTCTCAACTCTTATTGTTTGGTAGACCCAGGACCCAGATTTTTGAGGCTATGATGATAATTGTTCACTTCATCTCTGACCCAAATATTGGGCATGGTTTAATCTGACCTGTAACTTGGCAGGGCATGCATGCCAGTGGACGTCATTGCAGCCATGGCAGTGTTAGAACAACCTTTGCCCTGTACTCAAATCTGAGCCTCCATACTGTTGTTCACTCCTTTTATAATGCTGGGTATCGAACTCCCATCTATTCGGGGCTTGTTATTTTTGTTTCGTTGTCATGTTCTTCAGTTGGATTGTTACCCATAAAGAACAAGGCCTTTGGAAAAATATGGATTCCTGAGATGGCCATGTCTTTGGTATTTTCTTGTAAGCTTGTACTCCCTCTGTCCCACTTTAAGTTGCTTGTTTACAATTCACAGGTCAAACGTTAACTACGTTCTTTACCCATTTTTGCTACCTATTTGAGAAAATAATATAGTCTTGTCACCTCTTGTTTTGTAGATTTTATTATGTAATTTATATATATATATATATATATATATATATATATATATAAATATATTTTAAAATTCCATTCCAATTTTCAAATAAATAGGATTGATTAGAGTACTCAATTATTTAAATTTTTTTTGAAGTCATTGTGTTGTCAAGGAAATGCTTGATTAAATGACTCACTCTAATTACATTTATGAAGTTCTTATATTGCCTATAAAGTTCTTATATTGCATATAAGAGATTGTTTATTTTGACATTTATTTTTTGAGGTTAATTTATTTCACATTTTGGAACAAACCACTTGCCCTGACGCACGGATGCAAATCTAGTTATAGGTAGAATGTCATTGTGAAATTGAAATTCAATGACAGAAAACGAGTTGCTATAAAAAATGGGTTGGGTTTAATGCAGGTTCCTTTAGTATTTCAGGATTAAAAATGAAAGAGGCTGCAGAGATCATGAGGATTTTGTAAGGGTTTGTTGTTTTTCTCTGTTTGCCAATGATTTACCCAAAAACAAAGTAACAAACCACCCTTTATGTATCTATGATACATTAGGTTTTCCAACTTGTGGCTTGAGGGAATTTGATCAGTAACTTGGCAGGGCATATCCAGTCAAAAACTGAGATTTGCAGCCATGGCTGTATCTTTGTTCTTTTACCACTTGCCCGTTATAATATAAGGATCAGACTCAGTTGAAGAGAACATTTTCTTGATGGTAGAGTATATGATGCATATTTAACGCCTGAGCCTCCATCATTGTATACCTTTTCTTAATGGCTGGTTTATGTTAGGAATCAGAGATCAGAGGCGGTCAAGCGGAAGCGAACAAACACCCACACACAAATAGCAGAAAATAAGAACACGAGATTTAACGTGGTTCGGTCAGTAACCTACTCCACGGGTTGCAACTAGGGTTTATCTTTTATTAGGTGCTCACAGATTATAGTTACATGATTGGGTAATTATAAGATATAAATTATGGTTAACAACTTGCTAAACAAGAAACAACTAATGGGCCCTTTAAATATTTCTTCCCTTTAACCGACCGGGCTTAAAGCCCAAAGCTCTAAAGCCTTCACCAAATAACCCAACAGTTTACCCTCTCTGCAATGCCAGTGATTTCTTCTCCAAATATCAACAGCCCATATGACGTGTGGAAGTGTGGAACTAATGAGGATCCTAAATGGTTGTTTAATCCATTATTATTGTTCTCTTTTCCACTACATATGAAAATACCCAGTAATAATAATAATAATAATTATAATACTCATCATCATCATCATCTTCACGAAGTGAGTGCTGATGGTCCTCAACATTTGATTGCTCTCAATTCTCACTAGATTCATACCCATGTTTTCAGGATTCTGAGGCTATGATGA